CCTTTCACACTAGCAAGTATCCAGCACGGCTTCTATACACGGGTCCGGCACTCTACACGGGTAAAAATCCAAGCCTGGTCAAGACCTGGGGCCAATTTCATAGAGCTGCTTAAGCACAAAATTTCCTTAAGCACAAAACGTCTTGCTTAATAAAATCCTGTTACCGACCAAAAATCCATGCAATTGTTATGCTAAGTAAACAAGAGCTAAATACCAGTCACAAGCAATGTACATCACATTGTGTTTTGGCCGGTAACCTAATTTCACTGTTTTTTCGTGCTTAAGCAAATTTTGTGCTTAAGCAGCTCTATGAAATTGGGCCCAGGGTTGAGAGTTTCTACCCGGGTAGAACAATCCAAAATCTTCAGCCAAACCATGGACACGCTAGTGTAAGTGTGAACAGTGTGCCTTGCCTCAGATAAGGCTGGGACCTCGAGTGCTGAAAACATGCAAAACAAAATCAGGCCAACTTTACTCACTCTTGAGCCAGCACCATTCGCCAAAATTTTTCATTGGGCAAAGAAAAAGGTCCTCAGTATTTCACAAAGCAAGTTTGAAGCCACTCAACTCAATTTTTAAAGGAGACTTTTTTCTCTCGATACTTTGCACATGGCATGACATGAGAGGGAAGTCAAGTGATTTGAAAATGAGGCTAAAGACTAGACTGGTACATGGCCAACCATGGTCCAACTGTTTGAAAAAAGACTGACCTCTTTCCTTCGTTGTCACTAATCTGGTGGCGACTATGGAGAAATGTGTAGAACTAAAGACTAGTACCACACATGCCAGATGTTTCTTTTGGCACAGTTGACTGATGCAGTACTAAAGGGTTGTTGGACTGGTTGTTTTAAGGTGCCAGTCTATATTCGTGTATTGCATGTTGTCAATACCTTAAGTTTTGGGACTCTCATACACAGTATCGAGAGTCCCACATTTCTGAACTAGCCTTGCCTATGTGTTGGATGGTACCCGGTTCTGCTTACGATGGACTCATGTTGTTTTCAACATGGATAGAGGGAGACGACAGTGTGAACAGGCAATATGTGGTAAAATGTGCTACAAACTTCCTCCCATCAAGTGAAATATGTGGGGAAATATGGTGTGCATATAACAATTCGCTTGAGTAACTCCAGCTCCAATGCTCATCAGGAATTCGACATACATGTATAGAGCTGGAGATAAAACTATGTTGTAGATTCTTCTACCAGATTCTAAGAGGCCCTAAAACAGGACTCTCTGTATCTGTATCACGAAAATGGTCCTTTTCCCCCACTATAATTTATCCCAACCCAGATTCTCTTAACATACCTCATACTCATACCTTGGAATCTGGGTTGGGTTAATACAGGTTAAAAGGACCATTTTCGTGATACAGACACAGAGACTCCCGTTTATTTAGGGAGGCTTAGAATCTAGTGTCTACAACATAGTTTTAGCTCGAGCTCTATATGTCGAATTCATGATGAACATTGGAGCTGGAGTTACTCAAGCTAGTCAACAATGTTTGACAAAAAAAAACATGTGGCATTATTATGTGGTATAAACAAAGTGCACTGTTAATTGCTAACCATTTACCCTGATATCAACTTAGTACGTATTAAAAAAACAAATGTTACATAAGATGGCACAATAGCATTACCACAGATTAACATCATCCACACGCAATAGATACATGTGCTATATCATATATAACTATCATGTACATAACAATATCAACTCTTCTCTTGAGTTGTCTCATTTTTTTTTTGTAGTTGCAATGTTTTGAAACAAATATACTTTTTTTTTCATCTAAATCTTATACATGACATAAACATTTTCTTCGTCAATTTTATTAATAAGGTAATGGTTTTAAAATGTACATACCCAATTTTTGTAGGGGGGAGTAAAAGACAAATACAATTTATTCAAAAATAGCCGTTGAGTTTAAAATTTTTGTCCGTTCCATTTTTTTCTGTTTTCCGTTTTCGGTAATGGTCGCTTTTACTCCAAGCCTCTTTCATGTACAAGTCGGTAATGAGTCAAACTTGTAGGTCTAATCCGTAAGTGTAATTTCATTTTTTTTTTCCAATTTTTTTTCTCTTTTTTAAATATTCTTTAATGTTACGTCACAGTTTATATACAAGGTCACAGTACTTTTTTCCATAAAACATGTACAGTTTTTCTGTTTTCTTTTATATTAATAAAGACTTTCAAATACATAAGTTACGGTAAAATACATTTCGCAGTAGAAGAGCACATGCGGTAATTAGGATCCAGACTTCAAGTGACCCACTCCATCAAAATGAGGACTAAGTTGCAGAAGATTTTGTTCTATTACTCCAAGATTACCTGTGGATTTCATGATTATGTGCAGTTTTTGTGAGTCCAATAAGTGTTGCATTCAAGTTCTTTTCCTAGTCCCCAAGCAAGGGCATAGTTCGGGTGACACCCACCCCCCCCCCCCCCCCCCCCCCCCCCCCCCCCGTTTCCCCCAACCCTCCCCCTCCCCTCCCTCCCAAAAAAAAGGAGAGCATACTTTGGTCCACATACTTAAGTTTTCTACCCGAAACGTTCGAAAAATACAGTTTTTGTTGAAAATGTCAGCACACCAGGAGCCACGATTTTACAGGATGCTTCAGACTGTCATTCCTTAACAATCCAGTAAGTTATTTCGTGATAATTTGATCATTTCATTTTTTGATGTTTGCAAATGTTGTATCTTCCCTTTAACGTACTCATGACTAAACCTGTGAGTACCAGATCTTTTTCTTTAGTACGATTTTAAGTATCAGTCCCATGAGTACAGGGCGAGTCAAAAAGAAAGTGACCTGAAGTAATGGGGTTTTTTTTGCTTAGAAACACAATCAAATTTGACACACCAGTGATGTGTGTCTTAAAAGAGCATGTTCTTCCACTTGTCTGAAGAAAAACAAAAGAATTTACTGAAATTGATCCACGTTATCAGATGTCTCCTTAAGAGTAAATGGGAGACTTAGGCCCTATATACATGACAACGGCAGTGAAGTGCAAATGAATAATTTTGGGATTTTCACTGCAATATTGACAATGTATACAACGTAAATACGGCTAGTTTTAATTGTTTTTTTTTCTGGGAAATAAAGTGAGATGAAGAAAGAAATTGCATTTCTTGAAGTTTTCCTCCGATGTCTTTGCTGTTTTGGTCACAAAGTTAAAATTGAAAGCCGATACACCCATGCCCAGCCAGAAAAGTCTAGTAAATGCCGTTTCCCCACAAGACAAGTGTATTCAGGCCTATGTAAACGAAATTGCACTAACTTCATAGTCTGCACACTGTGTGGCCTTCAGATATAATTTTTTTTCCTAAATTTATTTAAAAAAATTGTAATTTATAAAAAGCGACAATGGCGACTATTATCAAAATTATGAGTTCGTGTACCGTGAAGCACGCATCCTCGCGATGCATTTAATTTTCATTGTCTTCTCGAGCGTGTCTAAAATAGAGTGGTTGTTCGATGTGTTTGTGTACGGTAACTTAATTTGCCATTCTGTGTGGCCTTCCGAGATGATACATTCTTCATTATATAGGCCCATTAAGCGCAAAGATTAATGCGCAAAGTGTCGTCGACTGTTGTTTTCCGATGAAATTGCCAAGGGCGGAAAATGGAAATGCTCATTACTTGTTCATTACGCGTCTCGCCTGTCGGCGTTCACGGTGGAATGTTAAGGTCATTTCCCTTGGTAGTTTCGGCGCGTTTCCATGGTGAGACATGTTGTGCAGAGTACAGTGTGAGTAAAAAAAAAACTATACACTTTTAAAATTGGCCATATTTTTTTTCTGTAATAACATAGATAAGATATTTTCACATGTACTTTTGAAGTAACTCTTCCTGCTTCTTTTGGTGACATTTTCACTGGATTAGTTTTCGTGCACGACTGAACAGGAGACAATTAAAGGGGTCCGGTGAAATCTGACTTGTGCCAACTGGTCAGGGCTGTATAAGAAAGAGACAATTTAAAAGAACACAACCATTGTCTTGGTTCTGGTCATGGAATGCATAATCAGTTCAGATTTGTGGATCTTGCTTGCAAGAGTTTCAGTAGGCAAATCTGGATGACCTCCAGGAAAGGATAACTCGTGAAATTTCAACCCCCAAACCACCCCACCCCCTGGATCCACTCCTGAGTATGAAAAACACTTGAAATTTTCAAAGTTACTAGTCAATAACATGTACTTCATTCCTATGTTACTTTTATGAAATGGAGAGCAACATGTTTTTAAATTAATTTTTTTCTCATTCGTTCACTTTTTTTTTGGACTCGCCCTGCATTTGTAAGGAAATTTGAGTGCCTTTGAGTGCACCATGGTGAACAATCAATTTGCATCGGAGGACATAATATTAATAACACGCACTGGCTGTTTTTATACACAGGCACGGCTGATAGGTTTAATTGTCAAGATTACCTCGACTCGCCTCCAGGTGAAGTATAAACCGCTAATCCCTCGTGTCTTTTGTACACACACACAAAGTCTGTGGAGGCGGACCGTGTGTTGATCTTGAATTGGCCGTTGTGCACGGCCTTTTGTTGTACAATTTACGCTCCAGTGCACACCCCGGAGTATTGAAACACATGAGGTTTCGCTAAGAGATATCGTACAAATACTGTTGAAATCACTTTTGCGAATCAATATTTGTGGCATTTTGGCTGGCAAATTTTGCGTTTTGCAAAGAGCCAACATTTTCGGCAAAAATAATCCAGTGATTAAGTCATAGCATTTCGCTTTTGGTTTTTACCTTTAGCTTCTGCCTTGTACGTGCATGCATACCTGCAAAGTTTTCCCAATTTATTCCTCAATTTGATGGAGTCGATAACAAGCACTTAAAGTAAGTCTTACGTCAGTTACAGTGACGGTAGGCTGCAACACAAAACTGGTTCTTCAAAATGCAGGCGGTTGTTTCAAACATCGCTATTGGTTGTTTTTTATGTATGTTTTTTCGATTCAGGTTTTGCACACTTAACAGTAAGGGTTTTTTCTTCAAAAAAATGCAAAAATGCCTTCTCACTTTTATCCAAAAAATGTTAAACAGTGGGAGCTTCCACCAAAGTCTGTGATTTTGAGAACCGTTTTATGTTGCTGCCTTAAACACGTATTTTATAAGTAGGTACAGAACGTCATGGACTGTATGCGCTAGAACATTGTCTATATACAAAACGTACGTTGATTGTCCAGTGATAAAATACTTAAATAGAATAAAATATAGTACAGTTAACGCGTACAAGAAACATTTCAATATATCCAATATATCAACTGTTACTTTTTTTTCTCTCTTTCTTTCAAGCTTTCGTTAAACTCACTAATTTGGTCTTTTTGGATTTTACGTCAAGGTGTTTATGATCAGATTTTAACCATCTTAAACCTGCCTTGATATTTTTATTTTTTTACTGTCCTTCCAAGCCATATACATATCTTAACACGATCATATACTTTATTAAAATATATTTCATATATAGATGCAAATTTTTTATTTGTTGGATTTGAGAAACAAAAACATGTTATTTAACACCTTTTGAAGGAACATTAGGTGCTAAATAATTTTTTTTACTGACCTTGTTCTACTGATTCCCATTATAATTAATTGAAGATTTTTTTCTTTTTACGATTTCTATGCAGGCAAAATTTGGAGTTGTATCTGAAAAAAACAAAGTACGACTCCTGCATGAATTAATTCCAAGAATGTCGGAGTTGTTCAAGCCTCCAACGCAGTATCTTCAAGCAAATTTGAATGCTCGATCCTGATTGGTCAATCCGTGGCAACAACAGTGTGATACTATCCCATATGACACGGTCCATATTGCGCTTGGCGTATCGCGCCATTCGTTTCCTGCTGCATGCATGTATACTGGGAGAAACGCTGAAAAGATTGTGTACAGCAAATGCGTTCCATCTGTACTGTGCGCCAAGTTTGCTTAAAGAGGAATTTGTCACCCCGCTCGTACTCGCGGAACAAGAAAAATGAAGGATGTCTGCGTTCTATATGCCACTCGGCTTTCGAAATCATGATACAATGGACACAGGCGCACTACATTATTCAACTGTTGTTCAACTCGTGGGATAACTAATATCTTCAAGCGAACTTGTATCCCCGTTCCTGATTGGTCGATCCATGGCAACAACAGTGTGATATTATACCGTATTGCACAGTCCATATCGCACTCTGCGTATTGCGCTATTCCAAGATGCGAGCGACATTCCAGCTGCATGCGCTAAACCGCTATTGGGTTTGCGTAAAACGTGCTAGTTCCAACTTTACTGCGCGTCAAGTTTGTTTGAAGATAAATTCGTTATGGCGCTCGTAGAACACGGAAAAAGTAGTGCGTCTGTGTCCCACATACCGGACGAGTGGTATGTAGGACACAGACGCACTACATTATTCCGTATTCCACTCGCGCTCGTGGGATATCTTATAATATACCAATCTGTGTTTCTACCAGTGCCAGATTTGCAATACCATGAGCGATGGAGCCGAGTTGAGGTCACAGTGTTGTACCTAAGACTGCACGTCCAATCCGAAGTACTGAATACAATACTAAATTGTAAAATTTAACTACTTATCTTTTTTTTCTGATAAAGCATGTACTTTGTATGGCACAAAATCTTATCCGTTTTTTTCCCCCTTCATATTCTTTTTTGCATCACATACACTGTGTCAAAATCTAAGGTACTACTTCAAAAAGACAGATTTTTCAATGTCACTGGCCGCAATTTTTGAAGGAAAAACAACAGGCTTTTATAACGTACTTTCCCTCTTGTACACATTGGCACATTTGTTTGTGTGTGCTCGTGTAATGTGCATAACGATGAATTTACAAGTGCATCACCGACTCTCTTAACGCTTTGCAAAAAATCCTTAGATGACCGCAGGAAGATTCTCAAGATTTCCCTTGACGGTCGGGATGACGTATGCAAGACCCAATTATCACAGGGCCGATGTTCGCACAATGCAAGCGTACACTCTTTTGTACGTGTACTGTGCACGTGCAAACTCCCCACTCGATACGCACACAATTCCAAGATTTGGTGAAAGTTTTCCCAAGGCCTAGCCCAACTTCCCAAGATCTTGAGCAAAATCCCAAGGAGTGGCCGCGATGAGCGATTGCCATCTGAAAGAGACACCCATTGCTAATGTTGAACCTCGCGCTGAGTGTAAGCCAGCACATCGGCTTTGCATTTTGGGGGTGTACCTAGCTGCAACGGGTCCGCAGGAGACACCACTGACCTCATATCTCAAACTTGACCGTCGGCTGGGACTTGGGCAGCTTGAAGCTGCCGCCGGGGGTAAAACCGGACGCGCCTTTGACGCCGACGGACGAGGCACTGGTGCTACGGAAACTGCCCGAGCTGCTGCTCTGGGAGCGCACTGCGGCGCCCCCGTAGGACGCCGTCCGCGCCGCCGCCTGTTTGGCGGAGCGCTGGTGGGACTGGCCCGGTAAGCTGAAACAGCCCTTGCGGAGGATGAGGCGCGAGTTGCCAACGGCCGGCCGGGATTGGCTGGCTAGGGTGTCCAGGTGGGCTGCGTATCCACCACTTAGAATCTAAACGCACAGATGAATAATGGAAAACCCAAACAGGGTGTAAAACCAAATCTGAATTACTGACACTTATGAAGAGTGATGACACTTACTGACACTTACGGACAGTGATGGCCAAAGCCTTGTGGCAGCTGTCGTATCAAAACAACTGCTCCTTACGGAAATACTGAAAAATTGCAAGGACATTGCTTCCTATTTAACATTGCTTCAATTAACCCTATCCAACCCAACCCTTCAAAATCTAACTGCATGTTTTTTGGAATCTGTTGGAGTGTGCACTAGTAAACTGATTATGCTTGACATGGGGTCAGACATACCACCATAATCAGGGTCCAACAGTTTGGGTGTAGAGTTTACCATATGGTGCAAGATTTTGCAAGAGTGAGGAAGGCTCCTAGTAAATTACTCAAGGGGGTTAGGGTTAAAGGGAACCTCTGCTGGTTTACATTGATTCTGTGTCCAGACTGGTCTACGGGCTCCATGCGCCAACAAAAGAGGGCGCGTTTTTACCACTTTTGAGAGCCCCTTGGCTAGGCTGGATGGGACACTGCGTGAGCGTACTGTACTAGTTCGTCACACGCAACAAGGGATGAACTATGATAACAGAAATGTGTGTGCACACAGTTCATGTGAATGGCTTTGACACTTGCATTGAGACTGGATGATTTGTGATTGATAGTGACAGCATGTTAGGGCTCGATTGCAGCAAGATTATCAGCAAGAAAATAGTGTAGTGGGTTATTAAGGGAATAAATATGTTTGGCTGGTTTTAAACAAGTACATTTAACCCCAGTAAAGGGCCTGGCCGCGGAAAATGGCTCTAGCCCAAGGGGAGGACCATCCCAACCAGGCCCCTAGCCAGCTTTAAACGTACTTGTTTAAAACCAGCCAAGCACCTATTTATTCCCATTCATAAATACCTTTTAGTCAAGAAGTCAAAATAAAAATTAACAAATCTTAAAAGATTTCGTTCAACAAATTACTTCATGTTTAGTGCTAAAAACCTCCTTATATGGAAATTGGCTAGCGCGGCGCATACTGCACAATGTGGTGCAGAACGCAGGAATTGTGTTTAAAACCAGCCGGCATTTTACTTGCGGTTTCAAACCACCCACGTGACGGGTTCTTGACCAATAGGAATGGGTACACTGTCTCAGGTATTTATGAATGGGGGTTTATACAATTGGGTTGTCTTTCTCAAAGGCTAGTTGGAACATTTGTCATAAACTGGAAAAGAACCGACCAATTTAACGAGAAAAACATTACTCAAAGTGAAGATGAAACTACCGAGTGACATTATTCTCTCAGAAATAATTTTGATTGAAAGAAAATTGAAGGTGATTTCAAGGCGCTTTTAAACGTGTTTTTTTTTTTTTTAAGTATGCTTGCAGGCATACCATTTTATGTGCTTTAGCAACGTAATCCAGTTACTGGACCAAATACAATCTGCATATGCTTTCTTTGCTTGTTAGTTGATACACACTATATGTTTAGGATTTTGAGCAGTGTATTTGCTTCAGTGAAAAAAAATACACAAAGCTTAAGCCTCAGATTCTTAATAAAAACTTCCCTTTTATGTTGGCACATCCACCTGTAAGAAAAGCAAAAAAGTAAATAAAACTATAAAGATTGTTAAGTTAAGTTAAATGGAGCGGTGGCTTCTACAAAAAGATGGTGTGAAGCTGAAAATAAGAACACAGGACCTCAGCAAGTAAGTATTTGTTTTAAAATATAGGTTTTCCCGGCCACTTTCCTGAAATGGTCATTCACTTCTGAAAATCAATTATTCATTTTTGGTTTTTAGAAACAGACAGCCAATTACGTTACCTGTGCATTCATCTACACAAACATACTTTGCCTAAATTGATTTCAGGTACAGCTAATGTGATTGACGGTTAATGAAAAAGAAACCCCTAATTGCATCTGGTGCCGATGACATTAAACTAAAAGTGAAATAAAATGGTGCATGTTTGAAATTGCATTCTAAAAGTGAAAAAGAAGTCTTGTAAACGAATCTGAATGGACATAAACGAAAGGTGCTGCTCAATCACTTAATTGATTGAACTGAAATGGAATTGAATGCTCTGGTAGCGAAAATGAAACGCGTGTTCATAGCAATTCTCAAATTCAGATGAAAATGAATGTCCAGTTTTCAAAACTGAATGAACATTTTAGGAAACTGGCCGGGAAACCTTTACTATTTTTAAAAGTTTGTTTGCCCTTCACTGATGTAATTTTAAATGTCTTGTATACTCGGTGCTGTCTGATAGCTTGTGAGGAAAATTCATCGTTTTGCTGGAGCGGGACTTGAACTTGTAAGTTTCTCCTTAATTGTGCAAAATCTTTTTACATTTGACTGTCAAGCTTTCAAGGATTGGGTGGTTGTTTGAATAAAATTACGTCAGTCAGTGAAGGGCACAAAAAAACAACAAAACAACTAAAAAATCGCGTTTTCCCCGTCGCAAAAGCCAACCAAGAGGAAGTAGCTTGTTGGTAGAAAGCTCCTCCTGGGATAGAAAGTAGGATTAGTAAACAGAAATTAAAGAACAAAGAGAGACAGAAAAGAAAACGCTGATTTGAAAAATATATAGCACTGCAGAAAATGGTCGCTATAATTTAGAAAAGAAAAAGAGCATCAGAAATCTAAGCAAATATCTGATTAAATATTGTGGTGTCAAAGCCACCAAGCCTGGGTCTGATCCAAAGTCCATTAGGTTTTTAGACTATGCAAAGTCCACACCATTTTTGGGGTCAAACAACATCTAGCTCAGGTCCTGTTCAAGATAGTCTTGTTCAAGAAGTTTTTAGCACAGCAAGGGTTATTAAAGCGAGTGATCCAAAGCCCCTGGGTGAAATGAAGCAACGCTTTGTTCACATTGGGGTCGTACAGACGGAGGGTTATCTCTGGAGATAGATCTGGAGCTAGCTAGCTCCACCCAACATAGTTGTCGTTTGTACGCAACTTAACTCCGCCAGCTATCTCCAAAGCTAGCCAGGGCCAATTCTAGCCATGCAAAATTTGTGGGGCTAGCTTCACTTTCAGTTCAGCGGGGCTTCTTTTTATGACCTAGCTCCACCGTTATTTGTCTTTTGGACGCAACCGACCTAGCTCCACGCTGACGCATCCGGTCATTATTTATTTCGTCTGATTCACCGCGTCATCCATGAACATAAACAGAGTGTGCCCAAAAAAGTGCAACATTCAGTAAACAAATAATTAAAACTATTTAATGTTTTTTTCTTCAGTGAAATTATATATTACATTAAAGCCTGACTATTTCTCAATCCACTCCTTTTTACCCCATTCCATTTGGGTCCCTAGATCCAGAAATACAATCAATTAAGTGAAAGGGTGGGCCACTCTCACCTTGACATGCTGAATATGGGTTAAGCATTGAATAGACATTGAATAGAAATTGAAGTTGGTGACATCACAGGTGAGAGTGGCCAAAGTAAAATTTACACCCTTTCACTTTTGAATGGGGTCAAAAGGAGTGGATTGACAAATAGTCAGGCTTTTATGTGAGATAAAATTTCATTGAAGAAAAAGACGTTAACCCTAACAGAACTCGACCCATCAAACCCCAACGGCATGTTTTGTTGGAATATGTCAGGATGGGTACAGTACCCCTAAACTAACAGTCTTTTACATTGGGTTGGCACACCTCCAGAATCAAAGTCAGAAATATGTGTGTGCAGTTTCCCATATGGTGTTGGAATTTGCCAGGATGGGTATGGTTCCTAGTAAATCATGCTAGGGAGTTAGGGTTAAACAGTTTTGATTATTTGTTTTCTGAATGTTGCACTTTTTTTTGCCAAACTCTGTATTACGTAACCTATTTGGTGACCTTTTAGCTCCACTGTGACTCCAGCTCCAGAGTTAAGCCTTCATTGTATGAACGTGAGCAAAGTTAAGATTTGATCACTAGCTCCAGAGAACCCCCATTGAGTTCGTTAATTGTAAACGACCCAGTTCAAAAGCTGCCCTCCGTCTGAACATACCCATGGTGTGCTTAGGTAGGCGAGCTATCATAAGACAAGGCGAAGGTGTAGCACGCTCATGAAATTACACACGTAAACAAAATGTGACGTTGTTATTTTTCTCAGGGCTATTGTCCACGCCTACTTCCCAACAAATCTGCCGATTCTACCTCACCCTGCACTGGTCCTCCTGAATGTCACCGAGACTTAATCGTTTGCCTTGGTTATGTGAACTCTAAAATGGAGGGGCGGAAAAAAAAGATCAAGTATAAGGATATGTATCAGAGACAGAAATACAAAAACGAACATGCTTTGATATTACTGGCAAATTGCTGACCTAATTGATTCTGTGTGCGAAGAATAAAAGTAAGTAAAGTCTGTCACAAGCCAATGTGGCCCATCAGGCCAGCGTTTATCTCCGGTTTCAGTGGCATGAAACGACTGAGAATATTTCTACTCCCCCTGGATGGGATGCTAGTCCATTGCAGGTCACTCCCAGCTAATGCTGGTACCTTTTACACTCCTGGGTGGAGAGAGGCAAGTGGGGGTGAAGTGGCTTGCCCAAGGACACAACATAAGACCAGCAGCTGGATTCAAACCCCTGACCCTCTGATCATGAGTTACAAAACCTAACTGCTAGGCCACACTTCCCCACCTGTGTGTGAACAAACGAGGGCGCTATCGAACAAGATCTTGTGAAGGACACTTCACTGGTTCACACACAGTGTTCAACGTTAATGTTATCTCATAATACCGGTGTGCGTGAACCAAGATGGTGCCCAGAGGTCCTTCAATGCTGGGCTGGTCACAAATAGTCAACAAAATAGTCAAACCATCAATAACTGTTGCGATCAATGAAGATTGAACTATGTTTAACTGAAGTACAGTGGAACGCTGCTATAATGAACATCGCGGGATCCACAGAAATCAGTCGTAACAGCGAAGGTTCGGTATAGCGATTTTAAGCTACCGGTGCTTTGGTACTTTTCAATAAATAGTGCCCTTCAGAGCTTCACCCTGCACGCCCTGGTAGTTACTGAAAGACGACTTTGAACATGTGCAGACTATTGAATAACGTACAGTTTTTGAACTTACATGTACTACCTACAGTAATGGGTGGCTTTCCCCTTCTATTCCTAATAATAAACACTTGTCACTCCTCTGTTGACATATTTCAACAGCAATGTTCAGTACGTTTTATTCACAAAAATCGAGGCCAAGGACGATGTTCGGCATAGCTGGATCTTCGGTATAGCGGTGTTCGGGATAGCGACGTGCCACTGTATTCAATGGAGCTTGTTTCTTCATTAGAGATTTAAGCATGAAATCCCATTTCTATCATATATAAATCCTCAACTGGGTTAAGATTAAAGTCGTTGTAAATCTCACCGTGGCTGCCTCCTCTAAGATATCGCCAAGGCTGTGTCTTTCTCGAAACCTCTAAACAGGGGAGCAAAACCAACGATTAATGGCATTTTCTGGATTGAATAATGATCAACTCTTTGTAGTTGGTAGAATCAACATGGCTTCCGAAATGCTCAGGAACATTTTACTACTGCACTGGGTTCAGAAAGAGGCTATATGGGCAAATGTAAAGCCCCTTAAATCGATTTTACAAAATAGCGAAGAAAACTATGTAGCAAAATCAGCATGGAATAGTCTGCTTTCTAAGCATAACCTCATTTTTGTTCCCATATTGCAATTCTGTGCAAAAATTAAATTCTTTACGTTATTGAAACCAGGGATTGCCCAAAACTAAACATAGGACTGCAAGTAGCTTGTGAGAATGAAGAAACCTAAAGAGAGAGGGTACAATGAAGAAATGTTTAGTTGTAGAAGGAGGGAGGAAAAGTCAAGAAGGATAAACAAGCAGTAACCAACAGAATCAGGCTGGAACTGAAAACAAAATCTGTTTGGCAGGGTGGGTGGCATTAAAAACCCGAGACATACCTGTAGATGTGAAAGATCAATGCCATACTAACTCCCTTATGGCCAAAAACAAATTGCAGTGTTGACCTCATGAACAATTTCAGGAGGTTTAATTGGGGGGGGGGGGGGGAAGGGGTAATACATAGAACACATACAGAACATATCTGAACACCGCGAAGCAAAATCTAAGGTCATCAACACGGTGACAGTTGACAGCATCTGGCAAAATAGTTTGTAAGGGCCTCTGATGCAATAGTGAGACCAAAACATCTGACAAAACAACCTCGGAGTGCCTTGTGTTGTACTTCTTAAATAATTCGGCAAAATCGCCATATAATGATATTTTTGCAATGCAACTGAGAAGTTGTTTTGTTCCTAACATCGCCGTCATGAACACCACGGAGCTGTTGATATTGGCTATCGTGACTGCATATGCACACGAGTGGCACAACGTGCCGTCAGATTTAGTGTACAAAGCGAATAGCGGGTAGTGACGACCCATATTTTTAGAAGATTGATTTTCGTCATTGATTGAGTCATGATGTTTAAACTAGTTCATTTGTTTAATATTCAATTCAACATGTCCTATTTTCTTGAAGTTTAAGTGGTCATTTTGACCAATATTTTGTCAAGGATTCCATTCGGTTACCAGTTCCTCTCTATCAACATACACAAAATGTTTAGGCTACGAGTACTGCATGCGCTAATCCAGTATGCTGTGTACATGTGCATGCATGCGATATAATGACTGTACAGGGCTAGTACACATTGAAGATACGATGTATGCAGTAAGTACATTACACCACATGCCCCAGATCTCGACATCCGTTACACCATTTGTACAAAATACGGTTAGTTTGAACTGTACTACAATTTAGGTACTGTACATGTATGCACATTTTGTGACGAACTGCATAATTATGGCATTTTAAATAAAAAAAACAAAGAAAAGCCGACCAGAGATTTCCAGATTTTTGGGTCGGTCGGGTTAGGGCAACACAACACATTTTTTGGGGGCTTAATTATACAGAATTAAAACTATTTGCTGAGGTATTTGTGTTCATTAAAAAAAAGACTCACTTCACCAAAAGTATTCTTGTTAGTTCATATATTCATATTCAAGACTTTGCAAAAACATCACACTAACATTTAAAAAAGTGATAAAAAAGTCAAAACAAAAACATATTGAATCAAGTCCGGGACTGGACTTGCAGCCTGACAAAGTTTGTGACGAGCCAACAGAGTCATGATGTCTTTAACTTGCTTACCTGGGCATGGGTCTGATATTTCTTGGAGACTTTGCCCACGATGTAGATCTGTGAGGACTGCAGGCCGATGGTGGTATACACCCAGATGTCCTTGCTGGAACCATACGCTGCATGGATCACCATCTTGCTCTGTGGACAGAGAGAGGGGTCAAAGGACAAAGGTGAAAGGTCAGGACACACAGGTCACACTGGGCTGCATTTCAAAGGTGTTATTTTGTGTTATTGGCTTTGGCAGTGTTCATTCCAAACAGTGTTCATTCTCTGTACAGGGCACTATCATTGAGTGCTCTGGAACATGCACACGAATGGCACACTAAGAACCGGGGTTCCCAGCACTTGATGAAAACAAAATTCCCTGAGTTTTTCCCAGATATTTCACCAAGAACTTTTCCACAATTCCATGAGAAGTATTTTCACTTAAATGAGGTTGCTGGGAAGTCAAGCTGTGGTTGCAGCACAGTGGCTAAGATACTGATAAATACACAGGCAACTTGTAGATAAGCGATGGCCTCCCTTTCTTTCCTCATAGCCATCCTTTCCTCACCGTGTGTAAGAGAGACGCACATATGCCAAACTGGCAAAAACCTTGCTCTTTTGGGTCACTGCCAATTCCCTGAGTTTTCCCTGATTCTTTTGGGTGTTTTTTCGAATTCTCTTGAGTTTTCCCTGACTGGAAAAATGGAAACTCATTTTCAAGGTTTTCCCTGATTTCCAGAGTGGTCGGGAACCCTGAAAACGCAGGACTTAGGTGATACTGCATGTGCATAAACCCGAAGCTCTCTACGTGTGGGCCCTAGGCATACAGTGGCAATGACGTCCACGAAATTTAGGAGTCTAAATCTCTGTCATCTTTTTGGGGTCATTTGTGCAAGGAGTCTATAAAGACAGGTGGGGAAGTTTTTTTTTTTTGTGGGGCAAATTAGGACCTAGTTTTGGTTTTTTTTTTTGGCAGGGCACTAGGACAAATCGAATCACTAGGACAGTCCCACATCTCAATCAATTTCTGAAAAGACCAATGCTCCAAAAGCTTATCTCATGTATTCCTCACTATTTCTTGCATCTTTCATATTTCCGTATCTCAGTTTTACTTTTCTTTACATACCTGTTCCGTGAGACTCCTGAGATAGTTGGCCTTCTGTCGCAGTGGATCGGTAGACAGTCCATCGATGAAGTAGACCATACCATGAGGGAAGTTATGCTGGGCCAGCCAGGCTACTATCTTCTGCTTCTGCATGCTGGGCCGGGCCGTGATGTAGATGATCAGGTAATTCAGGTCCTGCCAGTGCCTGCAGGGAAAAAAAGGGCGGAAAACATCAATTACTGCATCTCTGTGTTCAAACATACCTTACTATGTTAACCCCAAGCTCTCTTGTCATCACAAGTTTTTAAATCTCGAAAAAAATTAACTCTCCATTAGGCCAAAAAAAAAAAATAATCGGTCTCTGGTCAGACCGAAGTTCTGGAATTGATGCTGCGACACAGGTGTTTTGTGTGTGTGTGTTTTTTTTTTTTTTCAAGCTTGAATTGTACAGACAAGGTGGGTACTATTTTGCTTTTTTGTGCCCTCATTATACATTGGTGTTCTCCACAATTTGCCTTGGTGCCCTTTATCATTTGCCTTGGTGCAATTTCCCCATTCCTTGGTGCTCCTTGGTACAAAAATTTGTGGAGGTGCGGCAATAGAGGGCGCTGTTGTAGCTTCCGTGTTAATTTGAAAAAAAAAAAAAGGTTGACGCGCATGGTTAAAATCGATGCGCGCGCTGACCAGAGACCGGAGTATTTTTTTTGGGCCTTATACCAATACATAAACCATTGAAAACTAGACCTCACAAATGAAAGTTGAGTAGAAATAGGCAGATGTTGCAGGTCCACCAAGTTGCAAACATCAAGAAGATACAATTCTAATAGACATTCAAAACATGTTTACAACATACAACGAATGCAACAATGAACAATGTCCAACAGCTGGGGTCCATATCAGGGCGTACCTTTCTTATTTCTATGTTTTTCATATTTTTATTTGGCCTTTGAGGTAGGGTAGGTCGGTCGAAAAAAAAAAACCAAAAAAAAAAACTGCAAGAAACACAAATTGCACCCAAACAGATCAATGGCTAAATTGAATGATGCAAAGTGCGTATTGTCTCTAGTTTTGTTTATTGCAATGAGTTTATCATGAGTTGATATCACTGAATAAAATAATAAAACCATAATGTGGCAAGATGTAGTTGACTTGCATTATATCTGCACTAAGCAGCTCACTAACGTTTTGGCTGCAGTGGCAGCCGTGACATACCAATAATATGATGAGAGGCAACATTCTCTCATTTTGTTTTCCACTGTGTTTTACGCCGTACTTCGCGTAAAAAATGTAGTATTCATTTTTCAATAGTTTTTCAAACAACACAGAACCTGACTGCCTGATTGTTGTATTCATTTTTTTTTTGCACTTTTTAATTTTTTTTGTTTTTGTTTTGTTTTGTTAATGGGATTCCAGACAGAGTGGGCAGCAATTAAAAAAAATCGGATCCGGAGCCCAAAATAGCATCAGTTGGAAACAAGAACTAGAGAAATAAATAGGGATGCCCTTATGTTAAGATGTTAAGACCTCTGTGTCATAATATGTATTATATCAAGGAAAAAAGTTACAATACAAAGAAAAGTTGCCAGTTTAAGTTTACCTGACGACATCCACAGCCCCCGCTCTGACCTTGGGGTCACGTCCCATGATGGAAACGCTGGCTGTGAAGGAGCCGTCGATGCTGAACACCACGCACTCACACTTGGGTGGAACAATGGCCAGGTAGCCCTCTGCTGACGTGTGGTCCCCTCTGCAGAGGATATAAAAAAGGGATAATAAGAAACCTGAAGCCTCTCTGAGTGTCTTTTGCTGTAGGGGTTTCAAGGCTTTTGACAAATTGGGACACCACTGACATGGGGTTGGATTGAGCACTGGTACACTGTTCCAGAGGTAAGGGGTTCCAACCCTTCTGCAATCAATTTTTCTCTGTCCAACTTGCATGATTTGTGCACTGAAAATTACAGTTTCCTCTGGAGGTGCTAACACTGTGAAGTTTTTAGATTGTTGTGTCACTATTTCAAGCAAAATCTATCTCTAAAGTTAGCATTCTCTGTGCTTTGCTTTCTGCTTTCATCTCCATGAAATGGACAGGGGCTCACAGACTGTGCATCTTGTTATTCCAATTTGGCTTGCTCTCATCTTTAAATCATGTCCATAATTTTATTGGAATTTTATTTACCTTACAACCATTTTGACTGGGTAGATGCCCTGACTGAGACTCCGTGTTGCTGGGACATTGTAGGTCAGCCGGCCGTGGCCGTTGGTAACCTCGGTGGCAAAGTGGACCCACTCGCCTGACGGTGGCTGGGTGACTATGTGGATGTCCACCTGGTTAGTTAAACCAAAAACCACAGCAGTCAGGAGACATAATTCTTAAACTTCACATTTATGAGCCACAGGTGCTTACTTGAGCATTCACTGTTGACTGGTTTTGACTACCTCCCTCCTCTGCTGTCAATGCTTAAAGAATCCATAACATGAATTTTTCTAACGAACATATTTTTTGCGCCTTTCTACTCCTCTTAAAATGTATGATAAAAAGGCCTTATTTGACATCCATTTTTGGTTAATTTTATTGAAAAGTGCACTTCTTTAAACTTTTTAATTATCTCCATGCTTTTTCAGACAACTGAGGGCGCTTTGGCTGTGGTATCATTTCAGGAAGACACTGTTCAGCATGTTCAGTTTAGAACGTTTTCTGTTCAAATTGTAAAACCCAAAAATGTGCTCACTGAAAACATTTGTGAGAAAAGTTTGCTCACTGGCTCAATGCCATGTATTGACACATCGACGATTTACCAAAGAAAAGAAAATTTACGACAGCAAAATATCCACAATTCTGGCAACGTTTGGTGCAGAAATAGGTGTAACATTGAGGTTTCTGCCTGAAATCACATCACACTTTTGCTCATGAATATGGAAATTCGCATTAGCAAAAAAACCCCAAAAGGCACCAAGACACCCTTGAAAATGGCAAAAACAAAAATTGAAAATAAGGTTAAGTGGGATACAATGGTACATTTCCAAGGATTGCGTTTAACAATATTACGTTGCATGGGCCCTTTAACACATTGCAGAATCCTTGTCTCGTACACAAGATGAATTATGTTTGGCAATGTCTACAATTAAATTACAGCGTAATTGACCTATCGCGTTAGAATCGTGTTAGAATCGTATCAACGCAGCTTGTGCAATTTTGTCCTATTACATGATATACAAAATAAAAGACGCGGAACGCACAACATCTGAGACAAACAAAACTTAGGGTACAAAAATTCCATACGGTTGTCTAAGGGGCGTGGCTAACTCGCAAACGGCGATAGGTCAATTGTAAGGGGAAAGATATTTATTTTAACAATATTCAATAAACAGCTACCCAGATTATGTTTTTACGTATGACAAATGACCAACCTTTTCTCCAGTCAGCGTGACCATGTCCAGCGAGCTGTACATAAACCGCCCGGCCAGGGTCTGGGGTGCTCCCTCTAGGCAGATCATGTCCTGCACCCGGTGGTTGGGATTCACATTTTGCTGTACGGAGGGGAAAACAACGTAATGTAATAGGCAGAGCTCCCCTTGTACAGCCAATTAATTTGTAGCTGGGCTACACCAAAGATATGGTCAAAAATGTGTTGCCTCTCGTAAAATATTACATATCCGATCGGGACCTGGGGATGAAACTTCTCATAGTAGCTCTGGAATGCTTCAGCTGATCTGTGTAAGAAATGGCGACTTTTTCAAACTTTTTACCGGGGGTCATTATGGTACCGAAACGAATTCTGCGGGATGTGCATGTTTGCCATAGCAACCGATTTAATACATTTGTAATCATAAGTTTTGGTCATATTTTTATACAAACACATGGCAATACGCATTTTTTGTGTGAGATCAAAAAATGGGTTCTTTGTCCAAACCTACTATTGACACAATTGCAAAATACCCCGCCACTCGATATATCCACCTCGTAGCTAGCTATAGAGTCACGGTTGATTGCCCTCAATAAACCTTCTCAGCGCTACCTACATAATGTACAAGCGTCATGCTTCACTGCACTCCCACTCCGTTTCCGAGTAGCCGGAAACAAGGTAGTGAGTTTGAACTTCGAATTATTATTCAGCAACCCCCATTCCTTTTGTATTGCTTCGTTCTCAAGTCAAGGGGTCTTCCACTACGTATCCATGTAACCGGCAACAAGGTAGTTAGTTCTGACTTAGAATTTGTCTTAATTGATTCCTTTTCGTCTTGCATTGCTTTGTTCTCAAGGGGCTTCCACTCAGAAACCGCGTAGCTGCATAGCCGCGTCACCGGCAACAGGGTACTTGGTTAAGACTTGAATTTTTTTATCAGCGATTCCAACTGCATAGCCAGATGATTTAGGGGTGTATTTCCGAGTGGCGGGGTATTCTGTGGCGGGGTATTCAGCTGGTCACCATTGTTTTCCACAAGCCACTTAATAACATAGTATTAGCTAACATGTTCAAAACATTCAATAGAAAACAATTGTAACATGTGGAGCTTCATAACCATCTAAATTCATCTTAACTCTTTATTCCTGCCCTCCCCCTTCATAAACATCCAACCAACACAAGTCACTGCATCCTCCCTTGTCTGAACCCACTATCCCCGCCCCTCCCTCCTCAAACAGCATCCTTTATAGCAATGCATGCATCTACCTACACAAACCCGCTTGATCATACCTTCATCTTGACGCTAGTTCTCTTGCGTTGCCATTTCTCCCGAGGGTTGGAAGGAATAAACGCTGCAGTTGATGTCCCGTCACCCGTGTGTATGCTGACGCAGTCATTCTGGAAAATCTGTGATAAGGGGAAAAACACACAGAACTGATGCATTATAAACTTGAGACGTGACTTGTGATTTGACACTGTGATTGACATGTGACTGTCTTTATAGGTTTCTTTCGTACAATGTTAGAGTACCATGTGATCATCCGGTTTCCCTGTGATAAGTCACCATTGCAGTAGGCAACATTATTTGGTTAGCAACCACACTGTAAATTACACAGTAGGGCATATTTTCATGTAACACATTTTTCAATAACCACAATGGCATAATGGTCACTAATGTAGCCATAATAAGCAAAGTTCGGTATTCCAACTGCGCATGTGCTCATCAAGACTTGCCGATTTTTCTTTCGGGATAAAAATGTCATCGTATGCGTGCAAAAGCATAGCGGGGTTCCAACAAAATTGAAGAGATCATCGTGTTCTGAAGTATAACATTTTGCAAAAAATTTTTGGACAGCTAAGTGTTTTTAGGTCTCTTGTGTGTCAAAACGTTTGTGTGAACTACAGTTCCGTCTCTTTTTGATTGCACGGAAAATTGCACAGAATGTAGATTTGGTTACCACGTCTCCCATAGCCTTGTGTGCATTTATCTGCCGCACACGGTTTTTCTGAAAAAAAATTGACGAATCTTGCTGTGCACCAGACTATTTTGGAAAACCGAACTGGCTTCCTATGCCGACCTAGTACTTGGTGCTAGCTCCGCATTTTTTCTCACAGTTTTTGCCATATCCATCACAACTTTAATGGCTTGCCTACTGCCAACTGCATCCGGCAGTATACTATCTTTGCCTACTACAATGGCGATGCTCACTTTTTCGTACCCAGATGTAGGCTGGGTCATGAGGGTCAGTCAGAAAGCCCTACTGCAACTTCTGCTTGCATGTTTGAAAATTGCAGACCATGAACATTTTACGTTGCCTTTCAATTTTGCGGTTGATAGTTTTACCTGTCTGAGAATGAACGCCACCACGTCGGTACTCTCCCAGTAGCTGGCATGGAAAAGATGAGGCAGGGCACCGGTGGGGAATGCCTGCAGGGCTTCTGGGCAGTACAAGGCATTGTCGAGGCGTCTTGCACCCCACCACCTACTACTGATGGACTGCACAACTGCATGGTACACAACAGAAAATGTATGGATTGTCAGAGGCACCTGACTAAAACAGTTTTTTTTAAAGTCTAGCACCCAAACATCTGTACAACAGCACAGTACATAAAGAAGTGATTGGTATTTGGTTGTAGTGGTTTTGTTTTGTCTTGTTTTTTTTTCGGGAGGGGGGGGGGGAGAAACTAGAATCCCCTAAAAGAGAGAATGCAATGAAGGAATGTTTAGACATGGGGGAATAACCTTACAATGATATTCAAGAAGAACCAATGCAATCAGGTGGAGACTAAAAATCCAATTCACTGTTCGCCTGGGTGGGATTTGAACCTTGGACACAGAGGCCGAAGTACAGGAAAGTCCCATTGGCTTCGTGCACAAGTACCCCCTCAATGGTAAGAAAGGGAGAGTTGGGGGAGACCACTGGGAGAGACATTCTAACGCATTGCAGACAACGCCTGACGCTCGCGCGAAGATGCTACGCTTTGTGCACATTGAGAATAAAGTTAGTCCTGCGCACATTGCCCTATAGGCTCGCTAACCAGCACGCTATCGCGGTGTGCCCCGTCCACTGAGCTCTCCAAAGAGGTAAAGAGCGCCCTCTGTTGTTAGCACGCAGAGCCCATTGCATCAAAATGAGTCCCCAGCTCATGAAGTAGCTTAAAAAAAGTTTGCCTCTCAGCTAGTAGCAATTCATACCATTTGCAAGAGCAGGCGACATGCCACTACTGTCTTCCTCCGCCATCTCGCTGCAAGTACTCGCGGAGCTAGGTAGCCTTCGATGACTCGGGGTGAAGTTGCCTGACACGCAGCCCGACTGGCCCTCCATGAACAGGATAGTGTTGTGGGAAATGCAATCCACTGTGAGGAAAAAAAGTAAAGAGAGTCAGCAAAATGCAAAGTGATCTGTGTCCAATTTTTGGCACTGCTTGTGCATTTTTTGTTGTTGAGGAAACAAAAGTGCTCAAAATCTCCAGAAGGGTAGTTAACAACCTGATGACGTTTTAGCTCAGTGAATGTTGCATACTCCGAGAAAACAATATACTAGGATCTCAATTTATCAATTCAAAAGTTGTTGGGTCATGTTTGGAATTGCGCCTGAAATCAGCGTCAGGGATACGTTCTCATTCAGCCAACTGCAGCTACGCAATGTTACGTACGTACAGAACAGAAGAATAATAGCAACCGCATGCACGTGTGCATCCTGTCAACACTTGCGCGCACCAATCCACAGCTTCGTCGAATTATAAACGAACTACTGATGGAAATTTCCAAAAATGAGTCTTTAGATGCATCTTTGGAAATGATCTTCTGTTATTGTTTTCTTCAAAATGACAGCATGCCAGAAAAAATAATTTCACAGGGAGTTTAGTGCCATTACTATCTTGAAACCAAGTAAGCTTTTTAACAATAATTTTGTCAGCTACTTTTTGGATAGCTGCAAATGATGGACTCTACCTGTAATGAAAGTGTTCTTCCAAAAGATACCATTTGAGGTGGAACACTTTCACAGGCTTATTTAGTAACATTTCTTATCTTCACTTTGGGCAAGGTCTTTGTCATTAAAATCGGTAGGTCTGTTTCCTGGTAATGTCCAATGTCATTAAGGAATGTCAATAGCAAAAAAACCTAGGGGTTGGTGTAAATGGCTCAATTATTTGGACGTCACTGACCTAAGCTGATAGAGTGCCCGTCGCCCAGCGGGTACTTCTGGTATCTAGCCACTGCCGTGGGGGGTAAGAGAGAGAACTTGTGATTGAGTAGGGGCTCTATCCGGGAGGCCGATGGGTCTGTACGGTGGAACAGATTGAAGACCTGACGACAGGCTGGTCTGGGTGGGGCAACTGGGTGTAATGAGAAGGAAAAAGGCAGAGAAAAATTAATAAAAGTAACAATTCTAAATGTTGTTGGCAGTTTTAGGTGATACAGGGTGAGTCCAAAAAAGCGGACCCCAAACCAAAAGAATAAATTCCATATTTAAAAAATATGTAGCACCAAAAATAATTATGACTGGTAAGCCAAGTTAATAAACTACATTTTGATGAAAAAAGTACTTTTGCTCAATCCGTTCAAAGAATATCACCATTTAAACGAAGTGACCTTTAAATCTGTTTCGTCCAAAAATGTGATTTCAAGAATTGTCATTACAATTGTCTTCAAATATCACGAGTGATAAAATCTCAGTTGAAAGTTAAAAATATTCAACAAAGTCCTTCTGAAGGCCTGTCTTAAAAAAAAATGGATTTTATATTGTTAGCCAAAGCAGGGTTGTAAATAAAGATATTGTGTACTACAGTTGTTGAAACAAGTATTGTGTCATTTTCTTTGTTGTTCCAAACAGTCAGACCACACAATAAATTGCATTTTTTTGACAAAACTGAGTTCAGGGTCACTTCGTTTAAATAGTGATACAATTTTAACGTGTAGAGCAATTGAAATATTTTTCTCACTTAAAAGTAGTTTAATAAATGGGCTTCCAATGATAATTATCTTTGGTGCTGCATATTTTTTTAAATATGAAATATATTTCTTTGGGTTTGGGTTTCGCTTTTTTGACTTCAGGTACCCACGAAGACATTTTTTTGAGTGAAGACATCTTTTTGAGAGCTTTGAAGATTTAGAGAGTTGAAATAAGTTTGAAAACAAGTTTTATGATTTAATGAAAATTTCTTTAAAAAATGTACACCTCAAATTTTCAGTAATGAGCACCTAATGGTAACAACTTTATTAAACAAAAATGTCTTTGCAATATACCACACATTAAAATATACTACTATTTGGAATGATTTGCCAGCTGCTTTTGAAGATGATCAGAGTTCACTACATGTACATGTAGTTACCGATAAAGTAATTACTAAGCCTTTCCTAGGGCTTTGAGATTCCACTTTAAAAAGAAGAAAAAAAACCACCAAACTTTTAAGTTACTTCTCTATCATTCAAAGCCTGAAACTCATTCTAGCTAATCATCGAACGTAACTGAACAGAACATGAAGAGTATTTTTTACCTGCTTTGCTGTCTAGTAAGAGTCTCCGGTGAGCCAACACGATCCCAAGCGGCGACCCGAACATGAAAAACAGCTGCACCTCAAACTCCAGCTTGCCGGACCCTGACTGGACCATATAGTCCGACATGAAACAGCTGGTCTGGCTGCAGGCGCTGGTCCGCCGCCAGTCATAGCCGGCCGCGCTGCCGGCCGTGGGGGGCGGATCGTTGGCCATGGGGACTTCCTTGTTGAAGAAGACGTGACTGGAGAAGTGCCGGATGCGCTCCGATTGGCTCGGGGTGGTCTCGCTGCGGCCGCGGCCCGACACCACGTCGTCCTGCATGGCCTGCAGGTTGCTACTGCTGAGGCTGAGCCGCTTGCTGGCCGGATCGGCCATGCCGTCCGAGCCCAGCCGCTCCATGCAACGGGAGCTGGAGGCACATCTGTGGGGCGGGGGCGTGGCCACTGGGGTGTGGTCGTGGCTGGCCGGGGAGGAGAGGGTGTCGGACATGTTGGCCGGGCTGCTGGTGTTACTGCCCTGGACAGCGCTGCGGCACAGGGCGTCGTAACCCAGAACGGCACCCATGCAGTCGGCAATGACACTCACCTGGAATGTTCAACCACAAGAATGTGCAATTTTGTTAATACATTTGACGGACTTTCGTACCTGCAAATGTCCATTTAAATACTTGTGTCATGACTGGGAACAGCACAAACGGCATCCGCAATGACACACGTGTGGGATACATTCAATCACATAAACATGTCAAAAACAAAAATGGAAATGTTGTGTCCTAGAGATTTCAATTTCAATACAGTGAAGATGGCTACACTGAACATCTCTACACAGAATATCTAGCTATCTCACATTTTATATCCAATTATACCAAGTATTAGTGCCCAAACAATTGCTATAAAAAAAAAGACCACTCTACGACCGGGCAATCTTGACCCTCCGTGTTCATAATAGCTAAGTTCTACTCTTCTGGTGTTATAAATGAGAACATCATCCATGCAGTCGGCTACAATGTTCAAACAAAAGAATATGAAGAAAAAAAGACTGTTCAAGGACTTTAGATTCAAAGAGACGTCAATATAAAGCAAAGGATATGTAGGGCTCAACATCTCCGCTTTAAATTTCATCTAATTCACAATAAAAAAAATCCTCCTGGAAACTAGCACATGAAATCTTCCAATCAAGTAAGCCATGAACATGTAATTGGTCCGTTTTCAGAGATTTCACTTGTAAGTTTCGGCAGTTTGAATGGGTTCTTGAATAATAGCTTTGCAAATTTAAAAATAAATCTTTGTTTTGCTAGACGAGCTTTGCAATTTTGTCCATATATTGATTCTGTCAAACAGCAAATAGGCAACTTAATGAGTTTCAGAAATAAGCCCGAGTTATACCTATGGGAGACATGTGGAATTAGGGAGACAATTCAGAGTCTCCCTAATGCCTCAGTCTCTATTTAAAGGCAAAATTTTACCGTCGCAAATAGGCTAGTTTGATTGCTCGTGGTCCAATTAGTAAAATTACCAAAATTTGTGAGAGTAGGATAGGATAAAGTAAAATTAGGGTTAGAGGTAAAAAAAAAGTGCACAAGTCTATAGGAATGTCTCCCTAGTGACCTAGATTATTAATTCTTTCTGGTTAATGAAACCAAGGATCCCTCAAAAGCGCCCTAGGCACTGTAGCTCGCAAGCCTGAAAAAAACCTGTAGAGAGAAGACAACGAGAAGAAGTTACAGTTTTAGAGGTGGGAGGAAAACCCCAGACAGATTTTTTAGGGAAACCCACGGAATCAGGTAGGGACTGAAAACCCAATCCACATATTGGCCCAAGCGGGATTCGAACCCGGGTCACAGCGGTGGAAGGCGAGGAAAGTACCGCTACGCCAACCTGACTTCCCTAAATGATGAACCAGTGTTAAGTTTCAATTTCAAAGCTGCCTACCTGCCCGTCGAAGCCTCGCCCCACCTCTGAGTGTAAGAAGTCCAAGTAGACCTTGTTCATGTTGTTGATGGTGGCCAAGACCAGCTCTGGGTATTCGGGCGAAGACGTGGCAAGAATTGGCAGTGCCCCGAGAGGAATGAATTCACCGTTGGTGGACGGGACTTTGCTTTCCGTTGAAAGGTCGTTAATGTAGGGACTAAGGCTGTGGGGCAAAAAAAATCAGGGAGAAAACAAGATAGAGAGACTGACGTATGTTTCTTTAGGTCTACATAAATGAACAAAAGATTTCGAAATAATTTATGGTATTGCCGTCATTGATTTTGATGTTATGGTATTGTGTGTTCAGTGCTTAACATAGGTTTTCTCGGCTAATTTAAAACATTTATCATTCGAATTCACCGTTTCTAATATTCAAATTCCTCCATCAACATCTATTTAGTGCACTTCCAATGTTTAATTTCGTCTTTTGTCAGACAATTTCAAATTCAGTTCAAGCAAATTCAAACAATGAGCACACGTTTTCGTAACATAGCAATCGATTTCGTCTCATCTATGCCAAACCTTGTTATTCAGAAATCAAATTCATCTAATTGATTTATAAAAGACGAATTCGATCTCTGAATGCAGAATGACTAGAGGGTGACCAAACTTTTAAAATGAATGGTAAATGACTAAATTGGGTTGTTAAAAGCTTGTGAAATGTTTCTCGGACAAAACTGGATGTTACAGTTGGTGAGTTTGAATGAAAATGTTTTAAAATAGCCGGGAAAACCTATACTAAAATCTTGTGAGAAAGGATTTAAGTTGTACTTTGAGTTTGAAGATTTTCCTGCAATTATTCCATCCCCAATCATGCAAAATTCCAAATGAAAATAATTTTAATTAGCTCTTAATATCTCGAAATTAGTTTCCAGAACAATTCATAACTACTGGGCTCTGTGTGCCAACAAGAGAGGGCGCTTTATTTACCACCTTCGAGAGCCCTGTGGACGGGACACACCGCGTGCGCGTACTGGTTCCCGCGTGCGTGTATAGCGCGAAATACGCACAACGAAGTACGCGTGAGCGTCGGGCGTCGTTGGCAATGTGTTCAAATGTCTCTCCCAGTGGTCACCCCCAACTCTCCCTTTCTTAACGTTGAGGGGGTACTTGTGCTTATAGTTGAGGACAGATTGTATATTCGCTGATGCAAAACTCAAGTTTACATTTTAAAACAAATTTTCCAAGTAGATTTTTTGTCAACAAATTAATGAAGGAACAGAGATTCGTCCTTGCCAAGCAAAATCATGTTGCCGTACAGTCTGGAAGCCCATCTCACCTTGTCATGAGTGCCATTGCCTCATAGCACGTGGAGGGGCAAGGCACCAGTCTGATGGTTGTCCTCCCCAGGGCGATGGGGAAGTGCGCCCTCACAACGGCATCAAAGGCAATCTTGAAAGTGTTGACGTCGCTGCTCTTGGCCCCTGACTCTTGCATGCCGTCCAGTATGTTGCCGCCGTGCAGCACCAGGATGAGTACGCTGATGTCGCAGAGCGGGGCACCGGTGGCTGGGGCTGAGTGGGGCGGGGGCGGGATGGAGTCACCTGGAGAGACAGACCAACAAACAGTCTTGAACACTGTACTGTACCGAGGGACAGACCATCAAAAACAGTGTTGAACACTGTGCTGTACTAAAAAAGTACAGCACTCATGTTCTTTCAGCAAAATGAAAACAATTCACATGCTCCCTATGAGAATTGTTTTCGTTTTGCTGAAAGAACAAGTAGGAGGTTGTGGGTTCGAGTCCCACCCGAGTGATTTTTTCCAACTTTCACTCGGGAGGTAACACACTGAGTATACAGTGTTTATTCGTCGGTGAAGGGCAAAAACCTAATTTGATTTACATCACATGACGCAAAATTCCATCTTATGAATCGCTGAAAGAACACTTACTTTTTTTGTGATCTGTGGACAGAACTTTAAAACAGTGTTTGTGTTCAAAATTCCGTAACTTGAAAAGTACATGAGTGATCTGAATGATTCTTGTACTAAAAGAAAGCTTAATGACTGGGCTTTCATATCCTAGATTTTGAAAGTGCTACAGGCAAAACTTTATTCAAAAATTGGTCCTGCCATATTGGATGCATTTTTTTTTACTCACCCTGTACTGTCCTAAAACGTTGAGTTTCCCCTGGCTCTTTTCAGATCCTCACAAACTCCCAAAAGAAATTTATCACATGGTGCTACCCTAAATCTTTATCTTAATGTGAATATTATCATTTCTTTGTACCTTCAGCGAGTACTGCATGGTTGAGGGCTTCCAAGGAGCTCCATTGGGACATGGTTTGTGGCTCCTCATCTACATCCGCTGTATGGAAACAGAACAAAACATCTGATTTATTCATAAGGCCACTTATGAAATATCAGTTTACAGTAAGAGCATACACCAATCCGACTTTGAGATAACGGCGATGGTTCTGGTAGCTGTTTCTTTTATTTTATTTCTTTTATTTCTTTCTGGTAATGAAACCAAGAATTCCTGAAAAGCGCCCTAGGCACTGTAGCCCGAAAGCCTGGAGAAACCTGTGGAGAGAAGACGATGAGAAGAAATTACAGTTTTAGAGGTGGGAGGAAAAGCCCAGAAGAATATTCTGGGAAAAACCCACGGAATCAGGCAGGGACTGAAAACCCAATCCACATATTGGCCCAGGCGGGATTCGAACCCGGGTCTCAGGGGTGGAAGGCGAGGAAAGTACCGCTACGCCAACCTGACTCCCCTGTTTGGATGCTTCCATGCCTGAGCACCCATCATACATGCGGTTTGTATAGCTTTGAACATGTCCCCAAAGGGGAGTACATTGTGTGAAAAACTGTAGAGCGAGCTAAGGAGTTTCCTTCCCAGTAACGGTTGAAAGGCTAATCACTAAAAGTGGGCAACTCAGAACGGCCTACAGAGCAAGCTATATTTAGTGGCCCCCTACGATGGCGATAGCATTGTGCTAGCTATTGTTCAGATAATGCATCATGGGCAGTTGCTTTGTACAATAGCTGGCACAATGCTGTCGCCATTGATGGGGGCCTCCGTGAATGTACCAGTGATAGCCTGTACGGATTGGCTTATATTTATGTATTCTGTTATGAAAATGCCACGATACGGCATCATAACACAAAACTCTGTATCACAATACATGTTCTTGGCTGTGAAAATGCTTCACAAAAATAAGACAAACTACATTTTATTTTGGGTATCCTCCAGAGTCTGAATTAGTAAACACAACATGAATTTTTTATTATTTTTTTAAAGTGCCTCAAACATGAAAGAACATTGACAATTAAGGCCAAAAAAAAAAAGGTTCCGGTTTCTGGTCTGCGCGCGCATCGCCGTAGCCATGCGCGTCGGCAAAATGAAAAATTTTCTTTTCAATGAAAGATGATGTCTCAAAACCGCCAAACTTACTGGTTTGACTGGAATCCTGCTGCTGCACAATTTTAACGTGTTTTTAGTTGGGTTACGAATGAGTAAAAGCTTTATGTGGCCTCTCTTGGCTCCCATATATTTTGCACTAAATTTAGTCGGGCACCATTTGCAGTCATCAGGCGAAATTTGAAGAAAAAAAAAGTATGAAAAAAAAAAAAGCCACGTTGTGGCACCACTTTTGGGGCAAGCTCCATACCAGAAACCGGAGACAAAAAGCTCACAGAATAAACAGAAATCAAACAAAAAGCCAAATTACATGTATTTCATGGTCTAGATTTGGGACGGTAATTTTGTATTCTCAAGCAAATGACAACCAGCTCCTAACACGTACACAGTATTGTACTTGTGCTGTACTTTTCAATTTACATAACCGTGCACTTCACAATGCCCAGGGTATTCCGTTACAAAACCCAAGGACGCACGCTATCAAATACTCCGCTGCTGACAATTTTTTTTAAATATAATAATATCACAATACTCGACGGGAAATGGGAAGCAAATGGACGAGGACATTGTCGGATACACTCTCGAGACTTCTCCCGCATCTTGTCGGACCGTGGATCGCGGTTTCGTCTTACAATCCAACGTCAGCAAATACAATTAGCGGGTCCATTTCTCGCGCGCAATTGACAAGGACGAAAGTGAATCTCTGAGGACGAGAGTGTGCCTCGGAGGATATCATTGAACAACAACCGGGAAAAAGTGCATCATCAGTGAGTGGAGAGACGTGAATATCTTACGTCGTCTCCATTAATGAGCAGCTGGTTTGTTTTTTAAAGTCAGATTCTGTGACTCTTGCAAAGTCTGAGAAGAGTTTTGCAAAGGAACTTGAAAAGAAGTTTGAATGTTTTTGAGTATGATTAGTGGTTAAATCCAACTTACTCCATCTAAACCAACAAAATGCAACATATACAGGGTGGATCAAAAAAACTGAAACTGAGATATTATTGCTAATTGGAACAGAAGTAGGGCACATATGAATCAAAGGGAGATATCCTCTGTTAGGGTTGAATCTCCTCTTTAAAATGACACCCTGATCGTGTCCTTACATTCACGGTTGACTGAGCAGTGACCAATTTTATGAAAGGGTCTATTTACAGATTTGCGCCAATTTTCATGGTGAAATCTCTTTTTTCCCCCACTGCCTTGATTGGCAACCATAGCCTTTCACTCTGTCACAAATGACACAACAAAAATCACAATTGAAAAGTGGCGCAGGAGGAGGGTTCATACTGGATGAGAGCCAACGCGAATGTGAATTTGTAATGTCACTACATTTTAATTGTAGTTACATGTAATTATGGTGCAAAAGTTTCATGACATCAGATTTGCTTTGTGTTCCCAATTGTGCAAGTATAAATTGACCGGAATCCAAGTCAAACTGCCCCAATCCCATTCTAACAAACCCCTCCATACTCTAATCCAACCTCACCCACCCAAACCCACCCACCCAACCAAACCCATAGCTGCCAACTTTTCAAAATCCCAATTAGTAATCAACCCGCGCGGTCATTTTCAACGGCTCGTTTTATCAAAAGCTTTACCAAGATAGAGTACAGGTACATGGTTTACATGTATACATACATGTGCATACCCTTCTTGTTGTGAATAATAACGTACTGTAGGCCAAAAGATAATTTAAAAAAAAAAAAAAAAAAAAAAAAAAAAATTTTTAAAATAAATTTTGTTTTACTGTCTGTATTTGTTTGTTGAAGTCAAATAAATAATAACAATAATAACATGTGCGCATATTTTTTTTGAGATGCATGCTATCGATGTGGAGTTTCGAGTTCGTATCAATGTTTTTACACACAATGATTTAGGGCCACCGTATGCAATAGAAATATCCCGCCAACATACCTTGCAAACGCATGCTGATTTATCTTTTCTGGACGTTGTGACGAACTCAAACTCTATTACCACTTATTCCAACCATGCTCTTATTAAATTCCATGATTAAAATCTCGCACTGATGGGTCTCATCCCGGCAATAAACGACCAAATGTGCTCACGATCGTCACTGAAAAGTACTCACATACAGTACACACAACCACACATCTACGAAATGCACACAAATGACACACCATTGAAAAATAGTTTTAGTCTGGTCCTCAAGTACTCCACTGCGCACACTGCATTGATGTCTATCAGGTGCTTGACTGCATTCTTATTAGACTTGTCACCAGTCCATCCATTATCGCGACATTTCGCCAGAAGTTTTCGGTAAAAAACGATACTTTACAAGTTTTTTTTTTTGTTAGGTAGAAAATGGGAAATTCGTAATATTTTAGTGGCAAATCGTATTTTCGTAATTTAACCCTTACTCTCTGAGGGTAGTTTACTGCATGTCAGTTGGTTATGCCAATGCCCTCCAGCTGCAGTTATTTGGCAGATAACAAGTCTTAACAGTGAAGGCTCCAATTGGCAGGAGTTGGAGGCCCTGGAGGGTGCCTGATACTGACCAGCTGGGGGCACTCACTTTGTTATCAGAGGACTCTCATTGTTCTCTGTGGCATGTATTGGAGTGCCTGTCCAGTTACCCTTGAAATGACATGGCAGATATTGGAGGGCCATGCAAAAAACATAGGAGATTTTCTTGAGGCACAATTGGCATGCATTGGAGGGTCAAGTAGGGTAAGGGTTAACAAACAATTCGTAATAATTACGAAAAATTAGTAACAGTTGGCAGCTATGCAAACCCATCATAGCCCACCTCACCCTTCACCCCACCCCACCCAACCCAACCATCCCATCCCATCCCATCCCATCCCATCCCATCCCATCCCATCCCATCCCATCCCATCCCATCCCATCCCATCCCATCCCATCCCATCCCATCCCATCCCAACCCAACCCAACCCAACCCAACCCAACCCAACCCAACCCAACCCAACCCAACCCAACCCAACCCAACCCAACCCAATCCAATCCCACCCTTCCCCCAGCCAAACCCATCCCAACCCACCCGACCTTCACCCAACCAAACCCATTGCAACCTACGTCGCCATTCATCCAACCTAACCCACTCCACCACGCCCTTCCCCCACCCCAACCCACAACAACCAACCCACTTCACCCATCCAAACCCAACTCAACCTAACCCAACCCTACCCCAACCCAACCCATCCAAACCCAACCTACTCAACCTCACCCAACCAGTACCAACCAACCAACCACCCCTATGACCATACCACCCACCCCACCCAACCCTTTCTCCAACCAAACCCACCCAAACCCATCCCAACATACCCACCCAATCCCACCCAATCCAAATGAAGTCCTTACCCTGTGCATCAAAGAACTCATCTTCGGAGCTGTCCGAGTCCTGCTGAATACTGTTCATTCTCCATTGTGCCAGCATGTCACTGTTGTTATTGGACCCTAAATCAAATCAAGAAAAAATTGAATGATCTAAAAAAGTCTTGAAATTTGGCAAGTAAACTGTACTAGCAGTTATAATGCATATGACATATTCGAGATTGGAGCTTGATTGGGGGAAAAAAAGTCTTGATGTCTCACTTGAAAAGTAAATACAAACCATTAAAATAAACCGTCAAAAAACATACATCAAATTAGGTTTTGCCCTTCACCGACGTTTTAAACACTGTATACTCAGTGTGTATTACCTCCCATGTGAAAGTTGGAAAAAATCACTCGGGTGGGACTCGAACCCACGACCTCCTGCTTTCTAGTGCAGATGTCTTACCACTAGAAAGCAGGAGGTCGTGGGTTCGAGTCCCACCCGAGTGATTTTTTCCAACTTTCACATGGGAGGTAATACACACTGAGTATACAGTGTTTAAACGTCGGTGAAGGGCAAAACCTAATTTGATTTATATCACCCCGATGCAAAATTCCATCTTATAAAAAACATACAGTAATGTAAACTGATACGAATCACTTGGGAAAAGCTAAGGTTTAAAATAAATTTTCCATAATTTTTAGGACATTGTGAAAAGAACGAACATTGAAAAAAAAACCTCCCAATTTTTATATCGTCCTGTTGCTTTCAGTGACCATCTTTAATTTAGACATGGTTATGTTAATTCATTAACAATGAATGCCCCACTAGTCTACTCATGCCTCATGGGTATTGAAGGACTTGCTTCACGAAATGGTATTGTTCGAAAGACAACAAAATTGTTTGTACACTAATGGCATTGGAGTAAGAGGCCTTTGGGTCACAGTTTTTAAGTTAACTTTTCATTACTCCAGGCATGTGCCACTAGTTTGTTTTATTAATGTTGTTTGTATTGTATGTTTTTTTATTGTATTGTCATGCTGAATGTAATAACAATAAATAATAATAATAATAATAATAATTATCACTGAAGGCTATTTACACTGTAAAAAAGCGACTAGCAACCAACACATTTTCAGAAGCTTTGAGGGATTTACCCATCCCAAATGTGTAGGACAGGTAGGTCCCCAGTCTACGTTTTAACATACCAATAAACATGAAACATTCTGTAGATGTTGTAATATTCATCCTTTTTTAGACAACACATTATCATACACGTACATAAAACCTCCATGCATCATAGTCTACAGGTACATGTACACGCATTTTTTGTATCCTTACTAACTGCATGTACCGGTACCAAAAAAAATTAAGTGCACAGCGCATTAAATTTTATGAGAAGTGCACAACAGATGGACAATGCCAGACATGAATAATAACCATATTGTCCACTCCATAATAAAGTGGACACGATGAGGGGTCTTAATGAATATGGTGCTAATATTGTGAGCATTAAAGGAAATATACAACATTTGCAAACATCGAAAAACAAAACTACCGATTTTTTAACGAAAAACCTTACTAGGATGTTGGTAAATGACAGTCTAAAGCATCCTGTAAAATTATGGCACCAGGTGTAAAGTCATTTTCAAGAAAAGTGGTATTTTGTATAAATTTCCAACGGTGGTCAGCCGACCACCATTGAAAAAACCTAACTATTTTTTCTACTACTGCTCCAAATTTACCATTTTTTCAGTCCAAAGTTTGTTTGCTATTGGTTACATGTTCATGAATGGGTGCAGAACAGTTAGTCTGGTTCCATTACCTTACAATTTTCCGGCATCTATAAATTGATCCATTTCATCTTTAGTGGAGTCAGGGAACCAGACTACTTGAACTTTTTTATTTTCTTGGTTTTTCCAGCATTTTCAAACACAAAACTTCAAACATGTCAGTTTAACAGTATTTGATCTGTTATACTAACCCCTCAAAATAGTTCATTTCTGAAAATTACAGCAAAAGCCAATGATGTACATTCCCTTTAAGTATGGGAGAACCACTTCAATAAATTGTATAATAAAAATCATATGCCTCATATAATGTATATGTACCAGTACAGGTACAAACACACATGAAGAGAATCTGTCAATTTTTTAATGATTTATGTTTATACACTACACTAAAAAAGAGAGAAAAAAACCATCGTTCCCAACCCTCCAAATTAGGAAAGACACGAAGTGACCTGGGGCCAATTTCATGGCGCTGCTAAGCACAAAAATTTGCTTAGCACAAAAATAGTCTGGCTTATGAAAGCAGGTTACCAGCCAAAACTCAACGTGATGGATATTGCTCGTGATTGGTACTCAGCTGTTGCTTGCTTGGCATGAAAAATCACATGGAGTTTTGGCTGGTAACCTGCTTTTATAAGCCAGACCTTTTTGTGCTAAGCAAATATGTGTGCTTAGCAGCGCCATGAAATTGGGCCCTGGGCCCGATTTCTTGGCTCTGCTTACAGTAAGCAAAAAATCCCTGCTTACTATAGCAGAAAATTCTGTGCTGACGGTAAGCGTATTTCACGTGTTAGCGAGAATTTGTGGCTTCTACGCATGCGTACATGTACGTCCAGTAACTAAGGATTCTGTGCTTACTCGGTTAGCACAGAATTTTTCTGCTAGCGCGGTTAGCACAAAATTCGTGATCGTAAGCGCGGAATTCTGTGGTTAGCAGAGCTTTGACATTGGGACCAGAGGATTTTTATGAGCTGGAACGATTTACATTGTACTGTGACTAATCCCCAACTCCCCAGCCTAATTCACTAGGAACCATACCCATTCAGGCAAATTTAAACACCCACATGGGAAATTGTACACACACACTGTTGGACTTAGTTTCTGGAGGTATGCCAACTCCAGTGTAAAAGACCATCAGTTTAGGGGTACTGTACCTATCCCAACAGATTTAAACACAAACCTGCAGTTGAACTTTGATGGGTTGTGTTCGGTTAGGGTGTTGCCTTAATTACCCTCGCTCTTCAAAAATATTCCAATATTAAATGGTAACAAATTTAAATTTGTTTGCTTTTTATGGCAAAAAAACCCTACACTTCTCTTTTCTATATCTAGAGCATTTTAAACAGTTTAAAAATAAGATTTTATTTTGGCTTGAGTCTGCATCCGTAACGCACCAAGAGATATGCCAGAATTACTGTCCAGCAGCAAATTATTCAGATTTGTAACATAATTATTCTCTTTTTTTTTGGCTCAATGTCTTACTCAAAAGAGAATAAATATGTAAAAAACAAATTCCACTTGTTGTGAAACTCAAACTTTAAAGAACAGACATTTTGGATGTCTTCTAGTTACAAAACATTTCATATTCATTAATAAATTACTGCAAGTCTCCCAGGAATACTGATAAATTGCACATTTTCCCAAATAAAATGTATCAGAACACCCTTTTTTATATAAACCATGACAAACTGCATTTTAAAATCTCTAGGAAAAATGTGTTCATGTTATGTTGTTGGCATACATGTACATGTATCAACATTTCTAATTTTTAATTTTTCTTTTGGTGTGTAGAGTTCTGTTCAATTCTCTGCAGATTGAGAAATTCTAATATCCCGATCAGGATATTCCCCGATGAAAGCTGACTGCTCAAAAACCTGTCAAAGACCTCCGTGTGACCCAAAACACAAAAACAAGAAGAAAAGCAGTGTGAATGTGACTAAGCAAACTCACCGGTGATTTTCTACGTTTTAATTTGATTAGGTCCTTGGAGCTGGATGCATTTTCTCGGAAAAAACACAAAGCCTAGAGCACGGAGACCTGACATCCGACCGATTGGCTTTCTCCGAGGTTATTGAATTAACCGGTGCCCTGCATAACTAACCGGTCGTACTTGTGTAACTTCCTACACAACGCATATGTGCAAGGCAAATGGACAGTGTCCGTTCGTTTATATATCATTTATTTTTAGGGCAAGTTCGATTCGAGATAGTCTCTTTGAAAATTAGGGCACGCAATTGTGAATAGTCTTGCGGGTCATTTCAATGCAACTCACGTTACGTTTAATAAAGCGGTGTCTTCGGTCAACTTTGTGCTGTTATTAAATAAAAACAAAGTAAAGTCTGTCAGGAACCAATATGGCCTATCAGGCCGGCGTTTGTCTCTGGTTCCAGTAGCATAAAACGACTAAGAATATTTCTATTCCCCCTGGATGGGATGCTAGTCCATCGCAGTGTGCTCCCCAGCTAATGCCGGTACCCATTTATACTCCTGGATGGAGAGAGGCAAGTGGGGGTCAAGTGGCTTGCCCAAGGACACAACATATGACCAGCAGCTGGATTCAAACCCATGACCCTCTGATCATGAGTCACGAAACCTAACCACTAGGTCACACTCCCCCTGTTATTTTATAACGTAAAAGCATTGAGGTGGGTTTTTTTCCCACAGAAAATCACTAGAAATTAAGTAACTACAACAAAAAAAGGCCACAAAAAAAATGCTGTTGGTTTGGCAATACAAATTTTATGAGTATCTCGCATTAAAAAATTAAAAAATAAAAATAAAAATATAAATACCCTGCATTTGAAAATTTCCTCATACTGTGCACTGTTGGACAAATTTTTTTCAGTGTCCTTTGCTTGTAGATCATATCAGTACCATAACAATTAATAACAAATCAAAATCAATCGTGAAATCTCTAGAGAGATGTATTTCGATATTAAACTCGCGTTACACTTTGTCCGCCCAACTTTGGTACAAGTTAACAAGTTCGCGCTGGATGATACATATCCACAAAAGTTTTGCGGTATTCAGAATGGATGAGGGATAAACACGTAGGGAGCGAGGCAGGAAATATCTGTCAGCGACCCGCTTGCAGCGATCGAGGCTGGAAATATGAGTGTGCTGCCTGAGGGTGATGGCCTCAACCCGCCTGGCTTGAGGTCGAGTGAAAAGTAATCCTGTGCCTCGTTCCGTTCTTGTCAAAATAATCCCGGCGCAAAGTGGTTAAAACATATAAGAAACTTTCACTTTATATAATCAAACCAAATAAGCTCGGTTGGCTTAGACTATGAAACTTTATCTCTTTCCTAAAAAATAAAAACTAACAATTGCACTTGCATTTTACTGTAAACCAAATATTTTTAGTCCTTGGACTTTTTCTTTGGTCACCATCTTTTTTAACAATAAAACCGAAATGAATGAATGAATGAATGAATTTTGCGTGAAAAAAACAAGGTGCCATAATGACTACCTAAAAACCATACTTTAGGCAAATTACCATTTTTTTTACCCAAAAAATACACTTTAATTGGAACCATATTCCATCTCATCAGCGCATCTTTCAAATGAAATGTCTTGTTGTCCCCTTTAATTTGATACCACATTTGAGATTATGGTGCATGAAGCATTAAGCCAACAGCATTCATTTCTGCTGAGATTCGTGGAAATCCACTTAGCCAGATAATAGAATGGCTGATTGACAGTGATATCACCAACTGTTAATTAAATTGATGTTATCTTCAATTAGATTGATCTTATCCTCGTCCGTCGCAGGACAGAACCTTGATTACATTTGCACCAGGGACTGTTCATGTCAGTCAGGTTCATCAATGTCATGAGCAGTATAGTTTGAAGCGGTGTCTGAGTATGGGTCCTTGAATAGTACATGTAGACCGTTCAGACTACAGGGAAGGTACGGTAGAAGCGTTGGGGACCATTGTCTGTGTTCCATGGGTGCCGGTGGGGGGGTGGGGGGGGGGATGCAGTCTGCTCCAATGAAGACATGCATTCAATTTTCTCAGAATTCTTTTATTGGCTTTCATTATTTCTACGCTTGGTCTATGGCTTCGACTCCGTCTCTAGCTGGCTTCAGAATCGTTAACCCTTCTTTTGTTTGATCAGTCACAGAAAGTCAAAAAGTCAATCCTGTTCCCCTGCCATGTCTTTTTCACAGGCTAGTCACCAACAGTCAGATCATAATTATTTCAATAGAAACCGTGACAGTCAATTTCCATCAACAGACAAAAGCAGGCAACTGGTACGGCCAGTTTATCAATCTCCGACAGGCAAAGCATCTAGCTATGCTAGCTTTCATAACAATCACGGCCAGTCAACCCTGCGTTATGAAGGCAGGGAGCACTCCACTATTAAAAAGAGTCACTTGGTTTATTTTGACTGCTGGACTGGCCTGGTTGGTAGCCAGAGAGGGAGGGGTGGGAAAGCCTCTTATGTCCAAATACAGTGGAAATACTCCTATTTTTGGCCTCATATTATACGATTTGCTAATCATAGAGCTGAGCATGGACTAATTTTGGGCTGGGGACCCCCAAGTCAGGGGTCTTAAAGCTTAGAAGTCAATGATGAAGATGAAGTGTAAAGTTGAAGAAAAAAAATACCCTGTATCTTACCTCTGCTCTCCGTGGAGAGTTTCTTGGACAACCTCCGCTTTCCGAGTTGCATGGAGCCCATGGCCATCTCCGTGTCTTCCAGACTGCTAGGTGCGTCGTCCGTCATGAAGTCGCTGCAGATTGAGTCCATCTGGGCCTCCCGCAGCCGGTTCCCGGCCCCCGCACTCGCCGGGGACCGGCCGAGGCTCGGCGTGTCCTGGTACTCCAGCTTCTGCAGCTCGTTGTTCTTGTTGTTGGTGGTCGCAAAGTCGTTGCGGTCGTTGTCGCCGTCTGCGTCGTTCACGTGGGCTTCGGCCATTTTCTCCATCAGCTCCTTGGCCGCCTCCCGCTCCAGTTGCCGGATGTCTTCGATGGTGAGCCCCATCCACTCATCCTGCCAGCACCACGCCTGCCGGTGGGCGTGTAACATTGTTTTGTTCAAGGCTAGAAAGAGTACAGATAGACTGGGTTAGCTCCGAGTCTAAATTTTTCCAATTCAGTTGGATCATACAGCATGGTTCAAGGGGAAGGAGAGCGTAAATATAGACTGGTCGGGAGAAAGCCATTTGCTGAGGTGGCACTGGGCTCACGTGAGTCGCGCTCAGGTAGTACGCACGCTCTCCAGGCTCCTTCAACCAATCAAGTTACCAAAATGCGCGCTCGCCTTGTTTCTAAGAACACGTGCAGGCCGACGTGGTTCCACTTCAAAATGGCTTTTAATTTTGTTCGTCGAATTAGTCTATACCTTTACATCCTGAGGTGTTGGCTGATTATTTTCACACTGAAATCAGCAAACACTAAGCGACTACCAATTTTGCATTATTCCTATAAATCATCCATGTTGTGTTTGTTTAAACTCGTACACATTAACCTTCGTTATCAAGTAATTTAAACAAAAGTCGGCACAATTTTGGAAAACCTGTCAGTATCAGAAATTACTACCTTTCATTTCAACTTTCACAAAAGACAAGTACAACACACTTTTTGAATCTTTAACGGGTAGTGTGGGTACCGGGTACCCTACTGAAGTAAAACACGGATACCCGGTTACCTGTAAAAGAAACCCAACCCCACAATTCACATCCCGGAAGTTGTCTAAAGAGTTTTATAGTTTTACAGTGTAAACTGCAACTTTCGCCAGCGTCATCTGCCGTGTATCGAAATGCACATTAACTTGAAATCTGTTTTTGTTTTTCACATATCCTGGTTTTCATTTGAAAATTTCCCACAAATGGCATTCAAAACCTTTCCTTTACATTCATGACATTGTCTGAGAAGTTACTAAGTAATTTGTAAAGTTGGAACGGGTACCCGATCCCGAACTCTGGAACTGGTTCCTGACGAGCGGTTTGGTACCAGGCATGCCAGGGTACCCGGTTCCAATGCACACTACAAAATATCAACTAAACCCAAATGTCAGAAAAACAATCGTTCTTTCGGACTCACCTACGTCGTGGATAAACTTCTCTATTCTATTCTGCATCCCCCAGTATCTAAACTCCACCCGGCACAGTTTGTAAGCGCACATGATGTCCGTGCAGCCCCCGATGGGGACCAGTTTGCCGTCGGCGTCCAGCGTAATCCAATCGTTGGTCAGTGGGCCGCGGCCCGTCTTCTTGGAAACAAATGTCTTTGGGTCCTCGTCTTTCTTGTAGTCGCTACTGGAAATTGGGTCTTTAACCATATCAATGAATTCTGGAAGAGTGAAGGGGGTTGGAAAGCAACAAAAAGAATTAAAAGCAATTCAGTGGTAAAGTTTTAAAACTGCCGCATTGGAACAAAAGTGTAACTACACTCCAGGCAATACGTCAGCGTACTTTAAAGGTAGGGTAGATCATTTGTTATTTGTGCATTGTTTTCGTTTGAAGAAACAAAAGTGCTTAAAATCTAAAGACGGGTGCTTAACAACTAACCTTTAGCTATGTGAATACTGTATATTTCAAGAAAACAACATTCTAGAATCTTGGTTTTAATTCCAAAGTTGCAGAGTCATGTTTCAATTGCACCCAAACTTGGCGTCTGCGATGTCATGCACTTAACTGACGAATAATAGCAACCGCACACGCATGTGTATCGCATCAACGCTTGTGCGCACCCATTCACAGATTCACAGAATTACGAACTGAAATTACTAACGGGAATTTCCAAAAATGTGCCACTTGACGCATCTTTGGAAATGGCTTTTTTTTTTTTCAAAATGACAGCATGCCAGAATGTTTGACATTTTGCCCGATGTTTGACATTTTTCTGTCCCCATTACCTCTGAATGTTGTATAGGGGCTCCGTGCGCCAACATAAGAGGAGCGTTTTTATCTCTTTTGAGAACTACGTGGACAGGACACACAGCGTGCACGTACTGTACTGTACTGGTTGCGCGCACGATTTCCTGAATGTGCAAAAGCTATTAGCCATCGCGTTTTCGCGTGCGCCCCAAATGTATAGAACAACCTATTTGCCAAAACTAAATCAGCTGTTTTAATCAATCAAAATTGTAACTGAATATGAATTAAAAAAAAACTACACTTGCAGGTCTACTACTTACCTATTAATCTACTTTTCCACTCAGCAGTGGGTAAATTGAAGACGTTGTCCTGATGTCCAGCATCAGGAAAGTATTTGGTCTCAACCTCCACGGAGAACTTCTCCACAAAGGGGCAGGTGTAACGGGTCTTGGTGTAAGGGTAGGCATTCCAGGATTCCTCCTCCACTCGCAGGGCAGTCTTGGGGAGTATTGCACGAAACCAGCCTTGAGGAGGTGAAAGGAAATCAATGTGAGGCCGGGTCCAAATTACTTGGCTACGGCCGGGAATATCACACTAGTCTATGGGTGATAGCCTCAGCCACTTCCATGTAAGGCAAAAAAAAAAGTCTCCGGTTTCTGGTATGCGCACGCGTCGCCGTAGCCATGCGCGTCGGCAAAATGAAAAAGTTTTTTTTTCAATGAAAGATGATGTCTCAAAACCGCCAAACTCACTGGTTTGACTGGAATCCTGCTGCTGCACAATTTCAACGTGTTTTTAGATGGGGTTATGATCGAGAATAAGCTTTATGTGGCCTCTCTGGACTCCCATATATTTGCACTAAGTCTAGTCGGGCACCATTTGCAGTCATCAGCCGACATTTGAAGCAAAAAAGACAGGTAAAAAAAAAAGAAGCCGCGTCGCCGCACCACTTTTGGGGGAAGCTCCATACCAGAAACCGGAGACTTTTTTTTTTTGGCCTAATGGGAGACTTTTTAGACATTGGTGGCAGAAAACACACTGGTCCTTTTTCCATTGTTTGCGTCATATTTAAGCACGTGCGCACACATACTGAAATTTGTATCCTTGTGGAGACATTTCTTTGTTCTCGTGTACTAAAGTTTTCGAGTTTGAAAGTACAGTTTCAAAATGCTCTTATTTTAACCAGAATTAATTTCCTTGGCTGAAATTCGGACTTAATATCCCTTTTCTAAAACTCTACCAATGGAAATGGAAATTCCTAGTTTTTGAGTAAAATCCATATACAAATATTTATTTTCGTGAAAACCTTGTGGAGACGTATTCATCTATAGAAATTGCCCTGTGGAGACATATACAATCTTTTGTTCCCTATTGTGTGCATGTCTCCAGAGGGTACGGTGTATCAGATCTTTACACGTAGCTTAAACATGACGTAAACAATTGAAAAGGACCGGTGTGTTTGCTGCCACCAACGTCTCAAAAGTCTCCCATTGCTGGTCGCAGCCAAGTGACTGAGACGCAGCCGGAGTGTTGAGTTTACAGAGAGTGAGTTTCACCATGTCTAAGTTAGGTCATTAGACTCATGTTGGTCTCAGTGTCCTGTGATCTTGATCTAAGTCTCAACCTCAGTACTAGATCTCCAGGTCTAAGGCTCAATCTCATCTCCGATATCCAGGCCTTCCTTTCAGTCTCAGTCCTGGAGGTCTCGGTCTTAGTCTAAGGTCTCAGATCTAGATCTCTATCCTCTACGTATTCAACCTCAAGGTTTGGGGTTTTATTTATAATCTCCAGGCGGCCTGGGACGTGATGCCCAGACTCAGTCTTAATCTAAGCCAAGAATGTGTCATTCCTGGTTTCAGACCAGGCGGTCTCAGTCTCAGCCATCTAGGCCTCAGTCTCACACCTGGAGGTCTACGTCACTTTCTCAGCCTAAGGGCTCAGGTGTCTGAAATCCAGGTTTTCTGTCTTTGTTCCAATTCTCCAGGTCTTGGTATTGAGGTCAACATGTAGTCTCTGTCTTAGGCTCAGACTCTGTACAAGGACTTGGTCTTGGTCTCAGGCCTCCAGTTTCGGTCTCAGAAATCCAGGTCTCTCTCAAAGACCCCTTCCTCTTGATGTTGGTCCTCCACTTTTCGGTTTCAGATCTCCAGTCTCAGTCAATAAGGTCTAAGTCACGGTCACGGACCTCCAGGTCTTCATCTCAGATACCAAAGTCACAGAATCAGGTCTGAAATTTGGTCCTCCAGGTTTCAGTTTCAGTCTCAGGCCTCCACATTATGGTCTCAGACCTTTAGGTTTTGGTCCCACATGTCTTGGTCTCAGTCAGTCTACATGCAGAACCACTCTATCATTGTCTATGGCGCTGTAGGACAACTCAAGCAGTCAGGGCTTTAGCAGTGTTATATGGAGACATACCAGGTAAGTGGCTGCCTATGTGGTAGACTTTGTGTGTGTATTGGCCTTTTCCGCCCGGCCCATCCTCGTAGGGTCTATTGATGAGAATCTCCACGCCACTTCCAGCCCCACTACTCTCTTGACGACTCTTTTTCTGTAAAAACAAACGTGTCCAAACATTAAGTAAACTAAAAAAAGAAAATAACAAACCAATTTAAAAACACAAATTCTTTAAAGGTAGAATGGACCATTTGTCATTTGCGCATTTTTTTCCGTTTGAAGCAACACAAGTGTTCAAAATCTAAAGACGGGTGCTTAACAAATAACCCGATGGAGTTTTACCTCTGTGAATGCTGTATATTTCGAGAAAACACAGTATTCTGGATCTCGATTTCAGTTCAAAAGTTGCCGAGTCATATTTTGAAACCCGCCCTCTCGTGACACAATCCCGAAATCAGCGTTTGGGACATGATTCTCATTCAGCCCAATGTAGCTACTTGATGTCACTCACTGAACGAATAATAGCAAACTGCCCGCCCGTGGGCATCGAGTCAACGCTTGCACTCATTCACAGAGTAATTTAACAAACCAACCACAAATGGAAATTTCCAAAAATGTGTCACTTGACACATCTTTGTAAATGACCTTCTCTCATTGTTTTCTTCACAATGACAACATGCCAGAAGGAATAATTTCACAGGGAGTTTGGTGTCATTACTATTTTTAAACCAAGTAAGATTTTTAACAATAATTTGGTCGGTGACTTTTTGGATAGCTGCAAATGGTCCACTCTGCCTTTAAACATGTTTATGTACATCAGTACTTCATGTGCATGTAAGGCTTACGCCAGTGAAGTGGCCAGAATGAAAATGCCCATTTAGCAGCAACAAATTTCATACCTTCATTTTTTTGGTTCCTTTTTTTCACAATAGCCAGGAATTGTCTACCCCCTTTTTATTTAAAAAACACAGATTAGGCCCCCCCCCCAAAAAAATATTCCGTCTCTGGTCAGACCAAAGTTCCGGAATTGACGCGGCCACGCGGCTTTTTTTTTTTTTTTTTTTTTTTTTTTTTCTTTTTTTGATTGTACAGACAAGGTGGGGTTCTATTTTGCTTTTGTGGTGTCCTCATGTACATTGGTGTCCTCCATAATTTGCCTTGATGCTTTCGATCATTTGCCTTGGTGCAATTTCCCATTCCTTGGTGATCTTTGGTTAAAAAAATTGAGGAGGTGCGGAAATAGAGGGCACTGTTGGAGCTACCGCGGAACATTTTGGGAAAAAAAAGATTGACGCGCATGATTAAAATTGACGGGCGCGCTGACCAGAGACCGACTTTTTTTTTTTTGGCCTTACAGAAAGAGTCAGATTCATGTTGCTTTGTCAAAATTTGACGATTAAAAATTTTTTTTTTAAATTAAAAAAATTACCACAGGGGAAAAATATGCTCTGTGCATACATGTGCAGCATTTGTACTCTGACAAAACTAGGATCACTGAGGGGTAAACAATTCCTGGCTATGTACATGTACATGTACAATTCAAAAATCAATTGTAATTTCGTCAACAACAATTTCTTGTTGAAATGAAATTTCTCCAAATGCTTAATCATATCTTGTCTTGGATTTAACTATACAACAATGCTTGCCTCCAGCCTTCCCATCCCCCCTTTTCAGTCGTGGTAAAACAAAATGATTGATTGCGTCAAACGGGTAAACAATACAGGTGAGTGAATTGGTGTCACACGCTGCGCGCTCGGCACTCGATCATGCCAGTTATTGTCATAATGGGGAGAGAGTTCCGCAAAAAAGTCTGAGAGGAAAATATGGATGCGTAGAAATTATAAACATCTGTTGGATATTGTTATACATGTAAATGAGTGTATTGGGGCTTAAGCAACTAAACTGCAGCATTTGCACATGGGTGTCCAAATTTGTCTTAAATTGCAATAGAGGGGCATGTGTAAGTCTTGTGCAAAGGCCGATCAGTATATGAACATAGGAAAATATGTAGGAAAATATGTTTAATTTTGTAACATTTTATGTGTGCCTGTTGATCTTGTATACTTACTTTGTTTACAATATATTATGTTATCATTATTACTTTATGTACCTTTTAAGGTGATCTGTTTAATTAACCATTCATAAATACCTCAGACAGTTTAGCTATTCCTATTGGTCGAGAGCCCGTCACGTGGTCGGTATTAAACGGATGATAAAGACATGGCTAGCTGGTCTTAAACACTTTTCCAGTGTCACAATAAAATGTGGACTCCTAAAAATCCAGTGCCTCTTACCGTTTCATTGGTTGAACGTTCACAATCCTCACGTAGGCATGCGCAACACTACAAGCGAGTCAGAATTTTATAGTTCTAAATTCAAAACGCAACGCCCCAGGTGCGTTCTGCGTGACATCGCGCAGAACATGTTACGCGCGCGTCAATCTCCATAAAAGGGTTGTTTACATCTTACTCGCCAGCTGAACACTCCATTATTTTGCTAGAGGGATGTTTCAAAAAGCATGAAGTGAACTTGTTGAACAAAATCGGGATTTTTTGAACGAATTATTTGAAAATTTTTTACGGATAAGGTATTTATGAATGGGAATAAATATGTGCTCGGTCGGTATTTATCACTCGTTTAATACCGCTTAGAGTCTGGGTGCTGATAATTACCCTCGCCTCCGGCTCGGGTAATTATCAGCACCCAGACTCTAAGCGGTATTAAACGAGTGATAAAAACCTCCGGAGCACACATTTATTCCCTTAATAACACACGCACACAAAGTTGCGTGGGGAAGACTTGTTCATTTTCAAACTACCATGTATTCTTTAAATTTTTAGCCAAATTTGGCGATAAAAATATTGAGGTCGGCAATGTAGCCACAAAAAAATCCAAGTACATGTTTATGATGCTCATGTACTCATTTACTTGTACATATGTACGTATGTACATGAACACGTATACATTAACATTACCATTTTAACTACATGTACATGTAATTTGAGGACAACTTCACATGCTACATGTATGTAATGTATCATAACATGCACATGTATTAAGGGTTTATGTAAGCGTACACGCCTTTTTGTCAAGGTTGTTTTGGTTTAAATGCATATTTCAAGTTTAGCATAATGAGCACACATTCATGCATGTAATAAACAACAACAATATGCTCTGTTCAGTGCTCTATATTCTGAAAGGGCCCATGCAATTTCATTTTTGTAATGCAATCCTTAATACTGCACCTTTGCGTCCCATTTAACCTTATTTTCATTGTTTTTTTGTGGCCATTTTGAAGGGTATTTTGGCGCTTTTTTGCTTTTTATGCTATGCAAATTTCCATATTCATGTGCAAAAGTGTGATGTCATTTCAGGCAGAAACCTCAATGTTACAGCTGTTTCAGCACAAAAAGTTGCCAGAATTTTGGATATTGTGCTGTCGTAAATTTGCTTTTCTGTGGCAATTTGTTGTGTCAGTACATAGTAAGCCATGAGTAACCCTTTCTCACAAATGTTTTCAATGACCAAAATTTGGAGTTCACAATTTGAACAGAAAACCCCTAAACCGAACAGTGTCTTCCTGAAATGACATCACAGCAACAGCGCCCTCAGTTGTCCAGAATAGCATGGAATTTTTTTAATGTTTAAAGAAGTGCACTTTACAATAAAATTAACCAAAAAGGGATGTCAAATAGTTTTTACACATTTAGAAGTAGGAAGTTGAATAAAATATGTTCCGAAGAAAATTTTATTTCATGAACCCTTTATTCTGCTGAATCCATTAAAATCCACTCAAAGGATTCTGCCGGAAAGCAGCATTAACAGAGCAATTAATCATATGAGGCGATTGTTCATTTGGTGACACTTGTTTCCTGAAACGACTGTGATTAACTTCAAAAAGGTTCTTAAAACACATCTTTTTAAAATTGCCTTCAGCTACATAAACCGCTTCAAATAATAGTTTTATTTATCCGCTGCAAAGGATGAAAGTAAGTTTTTTAAGCCAGCACTAAAACGTATTATTATTATTATTATTTTTATTAAGTAATCGTCCAGCCAGGTGATTGTGATTTTTAATGCATTTTTTATGGGTCTTACCGTATATATTAATTAACTTTTTGATGTATTAGTAGTTTTATGAGCTTTTTAAATGTATTCAAATAACATTCAAACTAAACATTTTAATGGACTAGTAATATATATTTAGCTTTTTATAAGTATTGTAGTAATTTCTTTGTAAAGCGCATTGAGATTTCGTATGTACCGGTAATGCGCTATATAAGAACTAATTATTATTATTATTATTATTAACCCCTTCCCGCCGGGTTTATTTTTGCAGAAAATTTCAAAATTTTCAAAAGGCAAAATTTCCCAGCCAACTTCTGATATACAATCCAAACGCCAGAAATGCTGATTCGCAAGCGTGATTTCAACAGTATTTGTACGATATTTCTTGCCGAAACCTCATGTTTCAATACTCCGGGGTGCACTGGAGCGTAAATTGTACAACGATAGGCAATGTACATGTACAACAATGTCTTTTCTTAGGAACAGTGCGACATTAGGTTAGTTTCCTTTCAACCAGACCTTTGAAATAGGATAAGTAAACAATCTAAAACATAAAATTTTCGGCAATTTCAGGACAATGTCCCCTTTAATAAAAGTTAGGTGGAGAGTTTCTGGAAACAAGCAACATGCAATGTACATTGTAAAGCCTGTGACACTTTTCCTATTACGCCAAAAAAAGTTTCAGGTTTCTGGTATGGAGCTTGCCCCAAAAGTGGTGTGGGGACGCAGGTTCCCCCCCCCCCCCTCTACTTTTTCTTCAAATGTCGGCTGATATTGCAGATGATGCTTCGATCCCCTTAAAACTCTCAAAAATATCCTTCAGGCAAGGTTGGAGCTTGAGGTGACCTCAGTATCTATTGACGCCATAAGGCTTGAGGATTCTGCACCCACTTACGATCTTGACCGACACGAACATTCTTCGGGAAATTTGGGTAGTCAAGAGAAAAATCAGAGAAAATGGTAAACGTCCGACCATACAGCGTTATCGACATCATGCATGTGCTGCCAGGCTGGTCATTAGTCTGCTCTCTTAATGTACATATTGCACTAATTAAAAGGCATTTACCCATTCCAGATCTATACACG